CGTCTTATCATCTTGCATATCGATCTGTTCGGGATTAGAAGATGCAGTGGGATTTGTATCCTCCTTCTCCGCCTTTGATGGCCGCTGGCCTCCGGATCTCTTTCGGTTGATCCTCTGTCTGTACCTTGGTGCAAACCTTCTCGGGATTAAGCAAAAAGTCTCGAAGATATATTCTTTCAACACTCCGTCGTCTCTTTATCACAGACGACGAGAACTTATAGACCTCCAACGTCCGACTCATCTCATAACCAATCTCTCCGTCGAATCTAGAATTTTCTCGGGCGTTCTCCGAAGATCTTTACCACCGTGTACCACCGCAAAACTCTCCTCTGCATCCTCTGCCGGTTCTGCTGCTTCCCCCAAGTACCGTTTCAGTTCTTTTAAATCAGTTGCCGCAATTTGCATCATTCCTCCAGATCTGTTGCCGCCGTTTCTTCAAGCTGTCAGAAGAGTCCCCTCCCAGCCGCGGGTGCGTTTGGATCCAACAATCTGGAAAGCTTTTCTGATGCTCGTTCTCGCCTCTCCGGTTAGCCGCTGTCTCTGTTTCGTTTCTAAGAATCTTTGTCGATTAAGGGACGAAACCCTAAACGTAGTGGGCCGGTTTCTGCCTTCCTGGTTTTTGGGCCAGAGGCCACATTTTTTGTTATTGGGCCTGCTGAGGCCACGAAAATACATAATGAATATGGGCCATCTCTTGCTCATTTAAATGAATATGGCCCAGCTTTTGTCTTTCTGGTTTTTGGGCCAGTGGTTAGTCCCTTTGTTTTTGGGCTTGTTGAAATTAAAAAGATTAGTATGTTTCTGTTTAGATGTTTCTAAGAATAAGAATCCACAAATTTTCAATGGATATCTTTATCGATTGGATAGTAATTTCGCTCCGACCACTCTATTTTTTGGGAGTGATCAATTATCGGTTATTAAGAGATCTTGTTCGAAAATTTGGATGCTCTTATCTTGCGACTTTGAAAATCCAGTTCCAAAGAACCGCGACAATAAGAGGGATCGAATTTTATGGTGTGAAACCAACCACATTCTTCATTTGGGTAATCACAGCTTGCTAAGGCCAGTGGCGTTTGGTTGCAACAAGTCAGTTTTCAAGTTTGGGAAAATGAATCAAGGTGGTCAGGGCATGATTGGAATATTGACCCTAGAACTATCTTTTCCCGACTCAATTAATTCCTCCCTTGAGGAGAGACATGGCTTTAACTTCCTCTTTGATGAAAGAGAGACCTCTTCAGCTAGCATCTCTCACAGGCGTGGTAAACTTCTAATGTGCCTTCTCCTGAGAAGCTTAGTTGAGTTCCAAAACACTATGCTTTCTATGGTGATTCCCTTCACGAGACGAGGAGGTTTTTTGTACCCTTTTACATCATTCATACTCACGGGCACTAACCTTCCATGTATCTCTTTGCTTGGTTCGAGAATTCTGCCTACTTTTGTTTGGTTTCGTTTCCTTCTCTTTATCGACGACTTTGGACTTTGGATCGCGAGATTTTCTTCTCGTCCTTTTTGCGACCCCCCTTTTCAGGGAATGAATGCTCATGCATTTCAGGCGCAATATTGGAAGTTTAAAACTGCTTGGAATCTTTTGTATTCCTTGTGGCAATAGTTACCATGGAGCTTGGCATTCTGGAAAAGGACAGCCCTCCGCATCTTCGAGAATCCTTCCTTCGTGGTGGAACTCCTTATCAGTAGTATTTCTATACCTTTTGCTGTAACTCTTCAGTCTAGGTTTATTCCTCGTATTTTTAATGGTCGGGCTGTTTGTTTAGCTAAGAAAGCCCGAGTCCGTAATTGTATTTTTTCCCATGTAAGCTCATCGGTTCCTGATTGGCTCTCCCTAAAGGAGAGTCTCTTCCCGATAACTTAATAAAATGGTGTTTGACGGAAAAAAAAAAAAAGTTAACGCGTGTATTGGGCTCTTCATATTTTTTTTTTCGAAAAGGGAGAGTTTAGTAAATAAATGATGGGTGATCAGTTTGGAACATAAAAGAATATCAAATGTGTGTGAACGGGTTCTAAAAGTGATCCTGGCTTGGAATCAGATTATCAGAAATCATATACACAATCGTTATTGTCCCAAAATGTTATTCAAATTCAATCCTCAAAAAAAAAAAAACACATCACACTATCTTTACTTTCTACTAGTTATTAATTTAATTTTTGAATCACTTTTATCGAGTAAGAATCATAAACAAATAAAGAAAGAGACTCATCGTGCTTCACTCTCTTTGAAGGTCCATCCGCACATGAATATATGTCACGTAACTCACGTTATACAAGCACGTCAATATCCAATCTCAAATCATAGCTGCGAAACAGTTTTATACAAATAAAAATTTATAGTTCTTTCTATCTACTATTTTATATTTGTCACATACGCTAAACGCAAACGAAATAAAAATATTTATATTTGTATGGCATTTTGGGGTACGTTGTAAAAAAGAAAATGAAAACCTGAACTTTAAAATATTATTCGCATGTAAATGCAAACATGTTTTGACTTTGAAACCGTCAAAACCTTAATCAAATTCTTACTATTTCTTTCGTTCAAACAAAATGAGAGAGCATCTTTAAAGGGCTTTGTTAAGAAGAAGTTGCAAGAAATGTTTGGATTGAATTTATTCAAAAAGGGGTTTGTAGATTAATTTAACCGGAGAAAAGCTTAATAACATTGACAATTAAGTTAAGAACATAAGAGAAAGCCTCATGTAATGGTAAGCATGGATGAGACCAATAATGATTTGGCCTCTAAGAGAGTTTCTTTTGTCGGTTTGGTGGAGTTCAGCGAGCGTCCATCCTTGGGAGCTAGAAAACGGTCTTCGTTGAGGATAGCCAGTGCATTTGCAAATAGTAACAATCCTTCCATCAGTGTCCAGAATCCCATGATGATTTCTCTGTGGAAAGAATTGAATACAATCAAGAATCATGCAGAGAAATCAAGCTGGAGCTGCCAGTGATCTGAGAGAGAAAGAGGAAGATGGTAATTGAATTGAGAGTTTTATATGCAAAAGACAATTGAGATTTAAAACTAAAACTATCAGCACAAATCTTGAATCTGTGACACTTCATCAGCCTGTCATGAACTTCTTAGACGGCCAACCCCTAATGAACAAGCTTAAAGCATCAGACCACAATACAACGTGAATCAAGAATCAACAGATCTTAACCAAAACACTTGGGATGCAAATTCATATTCTACTTAGGTCAAATTTTTATAAGCATATGCAGAATTAAGATCAGTAGTTCACACGCTAACCAACTTATCTAAGGAATAGATTGAATCAAGTTTCAAGATTTTAACTAAGGGGAAACAGAATCGGTCAAATCTCTGAAGAATATATCTTGAACGGAACTAAGAGGTTAATATCAATACAATTCTGCTGTTAATTTCGCATGAATCTAACGAGCAAACGAATAATTGGATTCTAGATTAGGTGAAAATAAAAACAAGACCTCGTGGCTGGATTGATGCAAAGATCAAGAAGGCTTCGAAGAAGAACCATCGTCTTTGTCGCCGGAATCAGCGACGAGAATCAAAAGCTCTCGATCTCTTTCACAATTGGCCATCACAATCGCCGGCTTCTCGTCTCCCATAGCCGAAAAACTCAAGTCGGAGAAGAAGAAGAAAAAAGAAGGCTAAAGAAGAAAGGGGCCAATAAGATTAAAATCCTCTAATTCTTTTTTGTTTTTTTTGTTTAACCTAACGATCTATTTCTCTTCTAATTCTTTTTTGTTTCTCTATTTTTTTTTTTAATTATGTTATTACTTAGAAAATTTTCATTTTCCCGGCTACTCCTATGATAACGTTTTTATAGTCATCATTTATGCTACCGTAGAACAAAAAATTAGGCGCCACTACAAAATGATTTCGCGGTCATCCTACCATAATGTTTGCCTTTTCGAAAACGCTATGAAAATTTTCTCGAAACTCAACTATAGCAGAACCATCAAAAACGCTATTATGTACTACTATTAATACCCTTATTTTCTGTAGTGATAAGACGAATACGTGACAACTGACAAGTAAGAGCGGATTGTGTTTGCCGTACGTGCTAGGTTGGAATGAATACCATTTTCAAAATGTTGGTAATTAAGCTAAAAGAACCTAAGATCAATTTTCTTTGTACATCCAAAAACAGAATCGAATGCTAATGCCTAAATTTTCCTTTAATGAATTGGAGACATCTAGTAGTAGTACTGACAAAACACAATGATCATTAATGATAATCAGCCACTAAAGCAATTATAGTGGGACAAACACAAGAAAACCCAATGGAAGCATGAAACACGTTCGGATGAATATGGGACCAAAATATCGACAAGTTTTTAACTTTTGTCCTCACAAAAAGAAAGGAGATTTTTTTTTGTAGCTGTAGTGCAAGACCTACTGAACCAGGACCGGCTCAATTATTGACGAGACCCGATGCTAGACCTGTCTCAAAAAAATTAAAGGCCCTTAGACAATTTGTCTATTATTATAATTTAAAAAAATACCAAATTTGTTGTCATGTGGTTTTTAATTATAGAAATGTTATTTTCTTAAACTTGGATCTTTTCATATTGTTTTTAACAAAATTTAAGATTTTTAAGGTATAATTTTTTATTTAGTTGGTTATTTTGTAAAAAAAAATGGGGATTTTTGTATGAAAAAAAAAAACAAAAAACAAAAAACAAAAAATTGGATCCTAGGACCCTGTGGCCTAGCACTCCTAGCACAGGTGCTAAGCCGGGCCTGGTATGAACAAATATATTTTCTTTATATCTCCTATATATAATGTTTGAATAAATTATTTTGAATATAATAAAATAATAAATTATAGTTTTTCAATTATTCAGCTCAAGATAAATACGTAATTTCACTCTTCCTTATATTCAACGTGTCAAAACGGATCAAAGTGGATAGCATATATCAGTAATTTGTGGAATCTGGTCCTACAAACTTAAGATATTTTGTGGACTAGATACGTTAAACATTAGAAAATTATTAAAAGAATGACCTCTAAATCAAAACCACTTGTCATAAACAGTGACTCACATCATTATTTTAATAAATTCTCATCTTTTGTTTTTAGTTTTCTTGCAAAAACATAACAGAGAAGAACCCAAAACTAGAAAACGGAACAGAAGAAGAGAGCAAAACTTGGTGATGTCAGCTTCCCGATGGACGTTGATGGATCTACCGTCGTATCTGTCGTCATCGTGGGCATTCCGGTGGCCGGAGGTGAATCTTTCATACCGGTGGCCGGAGTGAATCTTTCATACCTGAGCTCTGGTTGGAACATGAGATTGTTGTCGTTGTCGGGTAATCTCTCCATAATCGATGATCTTTTGTGGAGTTTTGTCTCGATCGTTGAATCTTTAGCTATCGTTACTACGATCTGTTGCTTCTTCTTGTTTTGTGGTTGTACCCTTTAATTCCTTCTTTTTTTTCATTATTTGATTTTCTATATTTAGTTCCGAATTTATTAACCAATTAAAATCTCTGTAAATAAAATAATCAATGAATTTCGGGACTTTTCTAGCATTTTCCTTAGCCGTCACTTGAGTTCTTGAGTCTTCATAGATGAAAAAAATAGATCAACAATAGAAAATGTATGACACTTTATTTATAGATCAAAGTGATAAGTAACTAATACCAATTTGGTTTTGTTATAACATTCTCTTCCCAGTTTTGAGTGAGATTATTTTAGTACTGTTATTCTTGGTCAAAGGTGTTTCTTTAGTACTTAAATGGTGATCTAAGTACAATCTAATAGTTGACAAAAGAGGGTACTAGCTTATACTTAGTTGTACACTAAACTTTTGTTTTGTCACTATGGAAGTGGAAAGACAATTTCGGTTAATTTGGTCCGGTTTTGTTCGGTTTTACGAATTCTACCCATGTCAATACTAAAGTCAACTGGATTTACCATGGTATTGGTTCAAATGTGGATTAAATGTTTCAGATTGAAGGATTCTTACCATCTGAGATTGAGCTTCAGCCTGATCATCGTTTTCGATATATCTTAGCGATATATGGAGACTCAGAAGCACTGATATTTTGTGTGTATATATGAAATTATAAGAGATAGTAGAATCAACTTCACCATATCTCTGTTTTGGAAAACATATATATATATATATATATATATGAATGGTTGCAAAATACATAGCAAGTTCACTATATCTATATGTGGATAATCGGATATATAGAAGCTGAAGCAGAGACTTTTGCACACCATTTGGTCACATGGAGAGTGGAAGGTGACTTGTAGTGACTTGATGTCTTAGTTGCATTACGCCATCAAGTAAGAACTTGATACCTAGATAGCTGAGTGAAAAGTGTGAAGAATAACATGTTGGAACTCAAATTTTGACGAAGTAATGGGCATTATAACATTGTGTTTTAAAATAGATAGTTTGGAAAGTATTAAAATCAAAATCAAAGTTAATTTGAATGAGGGTTTAAAGTAGATAGTTTGGAAAGCTTATAAAACATGTAATTTTAATTAAGTATTAAAATAAGCAAAATTCCACTTTTGAAGAAGGGAAAATTTCCTAAAATAGTTTTTACATAATTTTGGATAAATCTAGAAGTTTCTAGATTGCATCAAATATTTTCGTAATATTTCTTAATCTTCATCCTTGCGGAACAAGCCGGAATATTTCAGAATCCTAATTGGAACGATCGAGAATGAATATTTCCGAATCCTTATCAGAATATTTTCGAATCCTTATCCCTTTATAACTTGGGGATCAAGGTACTCCTCCCTATAAATAAAGACTTTGCTCATTCTCTGAAATCATCAGATTTTCTAAAACACAAGAGTTTCTAGCAAATCGCTCTCTTCTTCGTCTCTACTCCTTATTATAAGTAAGCCTCGAGAATATATCGTAATCTGGTTCTCAAGGAAAGAGAACATATCTCACCTCCGCGTATTCTTCTCTCCTTAATCGATTTCTGTTCGTGATTTTCAACCCAGGATTTTGCAGTCCTTACAATCTTAATTCAATAAATTCGTTTCGCTTATACCTTCAAACGGATTGAATTTTGCGAACAGTTTTCAATCGATTTTGAAAACGGATAACGGTTTCCGCAAAGGCCTTTTGGCAGATTCACGAATCGTTTTTCCAAAATAACTAGCAATTAAAAATAGCGTTTATGAATCGCATTTAAGGTTTTCTGGAAACGTATATTACTTGAGTTCTAGTGATATTCACAAAAACTCAAGGCGAATTCTGAAACATTTTCTAGAAAACATGTTGTTCAGCGACTTAAATTATTTAATCGCTTATTAACATTGGATAATCCCAAACCAATATGACGGAAACGGACATGTATTGTAGTTTTTAAAGTAATCGCTTATTAACGTTGTTTACCACATAAAGTCATTGACAAAATGTCATATGAATTTGAAATGGTAAAGTGCATTCGTACAAATACCTAAAACTATGGGGTGCTTTGTCGCAATACCACTTCATAAAAAGATCAAAATCTATCTATAATAATATTTGAGAAGTGTTTTTGCTGACGTGTCGGACTCTCGGCTCTTGTTGAGCCCTTGATTTTGCGTAATTACTTAAATACCTTCTATTAAATTAATTCGAATATTAATTAAAATTAAAAAATTAACTGACCCTGAAATATAAAAATTCGATATATTTTACATTTTAAAAAATAGTAATATTCTTAAACACGAAAAAATGAAAAAAAATAAATAAATTTGGATCAAATGTAGTTTAAATACCTTTTTTATGACGGTTTATCGTTCGACCAAGAACATCCAATGATTAATCTCCACCAATCTAATCATGGTCGTGAGTCACGTACAATTACGTCGGAGAAAGGATTGGTCGTGTCTTCTTCTTTTCTCTTCCTTTCCCGTGTTTTTTTTTTCCTTTTTGGTTCTTTTTTTTTCAACAAAAGATGTGTCTCATAATTAATCGTTTAATTATATTTTTGATATTTTAATGATAAATTTATGTTGTGATAATTACGACCCAATTGTTTTTAAAAGTAAAATTTACTTTTCTAAAATATATAGATATTGCCGATAATATCAAAACAACTATCTATCTATCTATAATAACAATATTTGAGAAGTGTTTTTGCTGACGTGTCGGACTCTCGGCTCTTGTTGAGCCCTTGATTTTGCGTAATTACTTAAATACCTTCTATTAAATTAATTCGAATATTAATTAAAATTAAAAAAATTAACTGACCCTAAAATATAAAAATTCGATATATTTTACATTTTAAAAAATAGTAATATTCTTAAACATGAAAAAATGAAAAAAAATAAATAAATTTGGATCAAATGTAGTTTACATACCTTTTTTATGACGGTTTATCGTTCGACCAAGAACATCCAATGATTAATCTCCACCAATCTAATCATGGTCGTGAGTCACATACAATTACGTCGGAGAAAGGATTGGTCGTGTCTTCTTCTTTTCTCTTCCTTTTCCGTGTTTTTTTTTTCCTTTTTGGTTTTTTTTTTTTTCAACAAAAGATGTGTCTCATAATTAATCGTTTAATTATATTTTTGATATATTAATGATAAATTTATGTTGTGATAATTACGAGCCAATTGTTTTTAAAAGTAAAATTTACTTTTCTAAAATATATAGATATTGCCGATAATATCAAAACAACTATCATATATTCTTTAAATTCACAAATATGATAAAATAAAAGAAACTTTCTTTTATATTTTATACCGATATTGATGGTGTATCTAAATAAATGTCAAATATAATTGTAAATCTAAAAAAAATTATGTTATTGTTCCATTTTTTAACAAATAAAATAAGGAATATTTTTTTATAATTAATATCCATAGTAGTTATTAATTGTTTTTAGGAATATTAATTGTTTTGATAAAGATTTGATCTAACACAATATATAAATCTTCATTTCTTGTTGTTGTAATTATCTTCAAAAATTAAAAAATTTAGATCGTACACCGCCTTTCAGTTTAATATAAATACCTTCTCTAGGTTTCACTTTCAAATCATAACTAACCCCATTTTTTTTGCTTTCTATTTTTTTTTTTTTTGCGTTTTATTTTATTTGGCTTTACACATATGAATTCATGGTGTTTATGTATGGTTATAGGTTACGGATGCAACGTCGTTAAACAATTTCAGGACAATTAAATTGTTGATTCAATTGAACATATGGTGAGTTTTTCACTTTAGTACTTTCATGTTTAATATTTAAATTATGCTTGGATGTATTGAGAAATCTATAGGCTTTCCCATAATATTTTGCGAACAGCTTAGATTTCATATTCTTCACTAAAAAAAAAAAGAAGCTTTGATTTTGTATTTACCATATTCTTCGCTAAAAAAAAAAGAAGCTTTGATTTTGTATTTACATAATTTGATATCAGTTTGATTATTGGTTCCATCATGATGCAAATTACAGCCTCTCAACAACCCCAATAGACTATAATCGTTGGGAACTCTTCTTTTTCTCTTGCTTCTCTCTGATTATCTTTCACCAGGAGTCTCAATTATTATTATTTATTTGTATTGATGCGATCAGAAGTTTTATCTCTTTTTTTAAATACTGATCTCTTTATGGATTTTTCATTTAGGTATGAACATGGTTTGTTTCACGGGGTGTTTCGGTGTCTTGCCTTGAATCAAGGCGTGTAAAAACGTAAAGCTTGCTTTTATCTATCTTTTTTTATTGTCACGTCTTTATCCATCTATGTAACGCTTAATCATCAATTATTATATTAAACTTCAATAAAGGCAACAACATCTTGGTTGGTTTGTTTTATCTGATTAGTGTACCAAATTCAATTGGAACTATATCAGATCCATGAAATTATTGATTATTGATACATGCAGGTTATGTGTGATCTTTATACACCAGCTGGTGTTCCAATTACAACCAACAAGAGGCACAACGCTGCTAAAATTTTCAGACACCAATCGTTGCCTCCGAGGAGCCTTGGTATGCTCATCTTCTTGTTTTTTGGCTATACATATTATTTTCGTTACTATAAATTCTAATAGTGTTTGTTTTTTTAAACGATTGTATGTTTTGGATGAATGAAAGCAACCATGATGCATGAAGAAGATTCAGGTGATGTTTCAATTGATCTTTTATCTTTAATTTATCGATTTTCTAATTTTACAAAAATGTTCTCACCGAGTAGAATATACTTTTGAGTTTTGAGTTAAATCTTTCACAGTCTGTTGTGGATTAGCAACGTTTCAAGCCATATTAACTATTGTGTTGTGGCAGTTCGAAAGATTCATATAAATTGGACTATTGCTACAAAAAAAAACAGAATCACAGGTTTAATTCTATCAAAGGAGATAAAGCCTCTTATCTCTACTGTCTTTGAGGGTAAAGATGCTAATGTCATCGCCCAGAGAGCAAGAAATTGCGGAAAAACATATCTCATACATGTATTGAAAGCAATCCCATTAAGGTATTGATTATCAGACATGATACTATAGATGAAAAATGCTAATTATTGTATCGCATGGTTTGTAGGGAAATGATTATGCTCTGACGCTCAAAGGAAACAGACACCTTTGACTGTGTCTGCTACTTCTAGAAAACAGACAGTGCTAAGGGGAAATGTGACAGAGAGAAAAGACTAAAATCAAAGCAAGGTAAATCTTTCAGAAACAACTTTGTATCAACTCTAAGCCTCAATATCCATGATATACCTGCATCTGCTCTGTTGTTCAGTTTTAGAACATCAAATAATGATGATTTTTTTTCTCAATGTTTGAAGGAAACTGTTCCGCGAAGCAAACGATTCAGTGAAATGTAAAAATAGCATGTTGGAAAATTTAATTAATACGTCATGAAGTGGAATAATCTAGATTCTTCCTTTACAAAGAGGTAAAACAGAGGGTATAGAAACAGAGACTAAGAGACCAAGAGTCTTAATTAAGGAGGTTTGGTATACCACTTAACCCTAATCAATCCACTACTTACTTGATAAAGACATATTCTCATCATGTATATTTGATTAGATTAGCTAGGCTCGTAATATGGGACAAAACCCCGAAGATGAGCAAGAAATGCTTTGAAAGATTTTATCGTAGCGTGAGTGTCATATCTGCACCCTTCAGTGCTCCCTTGTAAAATCAGAGTATCTGAGTATAGATACTTAATAGGTTTAAGTGTTCTTCGATCTTGGACGATATGTTCCAACTTATACTGATACAGAGGTTATACAGATTTTTGGTTTTTCTAATAAAATAAATTGTTTGCTGAAAGATTGCTATACCTTTAACAATTTTATTTTGTTTGTTAGGGTCACGACATACATACTATAATTGATAGAGAGTATTATCGTCATCGTGGATTCAAGTTTTTTCAAGGACGATAGATACATGGCCGGCCCTATAGACATCAACAAGAAACTTTTGCTGTAGCCCAAATTTTGTTTCTGAAATTCTTCAACAAAAATTATTTATGAAACGGACCTAATTTTATTTATTTTACTATAATTGGCCCTAAATTTTAAAACCTTTCAAAATAACCAAAAACTTTTTTTTGAGTATTTGGCCCTTCAAATCTCAGGGCAGGCCCTGGATGGATAACACTTAGAGATTTTGATTCATGTTATCGGTTTGCTTAGTCATACTTTTTATGATTTTAAAATTCATTGGAATTTATCAATCTTTGTTTCACATATACCTTCCTTGGGTGCGATTGATTATTGCGCATTCGCATCTTTTAGGAAAATTGATACTTAGTTTTGAGTATGTTTATTTCCCTGGTCCCATAATATCTTTTGTTTGGATATTTTATTCTTTGCATTATTATGGTTTGATCTATTAATTTAAATAATTATATTTAATTGGTTGGGTCGTGAGTGTTAGCAATATTGAAGACGGAAAACCAATAATAAAGTGTGGGATCAAGTTTATGTGGAATTAGAAGATGAATTGTAAGTTATTAATTTAATCAAAATTAGATTTGTTATAGTTTAATTTGGTTAGTATGCTAAAAACTTAATTTTAAAATAAATTTACGTCTATAATGTCGACTACATGGTGGATACTGTTGTAAATTTTTGAGAGAACGGAGTAAACAATGTGATAATATCACCATATTTATCATGAGATTCACTAGAATAGAAGTCACTCGAGGTATTCGAATATTGTTGTTTTTCATGTATATATAATTTCTGAATATTTATTAGTCGATCACGTTTCTATGATATTGTTTCTTATGGTTTTGGCTACTATTCTTTGCAATGGCACCCGAATGATGCTAAAAAATATGTGTGCTGAAAGTTGCAGGAATGCAGAGTTGTTTTGTGCTAAGGATCACAGAAATTTTCATTAGTTACTAAGCTTATCTATTTTTTTTGTTTCCATTTTTCCGAATTATTTTTTTCCTAAACATGTAAATATGATCTAAAATGAAGTTTGAGGCTTTACAAAAGATAAATAATTACACAAAAGCAACATTGGCAAAAAAAGAGATAAAAACAAGACTACAGTAGAGTAAAAAAAGATTTGGAAATAGATAACGAATCCAAATAAGCATAAGCTTTGTTCATCTCGAAGTGATGATGTTTCGTAGCTCCACTCCACCATCTTGAAAATGATTTGAGCAGCAAGCCGCAAGGAGTTATGGAGAATGTTATTATGCTGTCGCCAGAACTTATAAACCACCACTTGAGATGCTACTTTTCTAAGCAAAGAAGGCACATGACTGGAAGAGCGTCAGGTCCAAGAAAATAGCTCAATCCAAGAGCAAAACAACCTTTGTTGCGGAAAAATCCTAGAGAAAACTAAATTCCACACCTGGAAAGAGCTCACAAAGGAGCAGAAGGTGATCATGAGACTTCGTTACAAAAATGCAAAGACGACATTCATCAGATTGAATTTGTCCTCAAGAAGCCAGTCTTTGACGAGTGGGCAATTATTTAAGTGACTCTGGAGAGGAAGAGCGTTAGGACAAAGAAAGTAACTCAGCCTAAGAGCAAAACAACTTTTGTCGAGAACAAAGCCTAGAGAAAACTAAATTCCACACCTGGGAAGAGCTCACAGAGGAGCATGAGGTGATACCGAGACTCTGTTGCAAAAGTGTAAAGACAACACTCATCAGATTGATTTGTTCCAAGAAGCCAGTCTTTGATGAGTGGGCAATTCTTTAAAAGTGTAAGGAGAGGAAGAGCGTTGGGTCCAATAAATTTTCCCAACCTTTGTTGAGGATAAGGCCTAGAGAAAATCAAATTTCCCACCTCAGAAAAGCTCATAGAGGAGCATGATGTGATCCTGAGACTCCGTAGCAAAAATGCATAGACAACACTCATCGGATTGAATTTTTCCCTTGGAAACCAGTCTTTAACGACTGGAGAGGATGATTGGAGATTTATTTAAGTGTCTCAATAGAAGAAGAGCGTCATGTGCCAGAAAGTAGCTCAACCCAAGAGCAAAACAGCCTTTGTGGAGGATAAATCCTAGAGAAAACCAAATTCCACACCTTGAAAAAGCTCACAGAGGAACACGAGGTGATCCCGAGACTCCGTTGCAAAAGTGCAAATACAACACTTGCCCCCAAGAAGCCAGTCTTTGATGAGTGGACAATTATTTAAGTGACTCTCGACGGTTCAAGAAAGTAGCTCAAGCCAAGAGCAAAACAACCTTTGTCGAGGACAAAGCCTAGAGAAAACTAAATTACACACCTGGGAAGAGCTCACAGAGGAGCAAGAGGTGATCTCGAGACTCTGTTGCAAAAGTACAAAGACAACACTCATCGGATTGAATTTATCTCCAAGAAGCCAGTCTTTTACGAGTCGACAATTATTTAAAAGTGTAAGGAGAGGAAGAGCGTTGGGTCCAATAAAGTAGCTCATCCCAAGATTAAAACAACCTTTGTTAAGGATAAGGCCTAGAGAAAATCAAATTTCCCACCTCGAAAGAGCTCACAGAGGAGCATGAGATGATCCTGAGACTTCGTTGCAAAAGTGCGTAGACAACACTCCTCGAATTGAATTTGTCCCCACGAAACCAGTCTTTAACGACTGAAGAGGACGATTGGAGCAAGATTTATTTAAGTGTCTCAACAGAAAAAGAGCGTCAGGTGCCAAAAAGTAGCTCAACCCAAGAGCAAAACAACCTTTGTGGAGGATAAATCCTAGAGAAAACCAAATTCCACACCTTGAAAAATCTCACAGAAGAACACGAGGTGATCCCGAGACTCTGTTGCAAAAGTGAAAATACAACACTTGGCCCCAAGAAGCCAGTCTTTGATGAGTGGGCAATTATTTAAGTGACTCTCGACGGTCCATGAAAGTAGCTCAGGCCAAGAGCAAAACAACCTTTGTCGAGGAAAAAACCTATAGAAAACTAAATTTCACACCTGGGAAGAGCTCACAGAGGAGCAAGAGGTGATCTCGGGACTCCGTTACAAAAGTACAAAGACAACACTCATCGGATTAAATTTGTCCCCAAGAAGCCAGTCTTTTACGAGTCGACAATTATTTAAGTGACTCTAGAGAGAAAGAGTGCCGGGTCCAAGAAAGTAGCTTAGTCCAGGAGCACAACAACCTTTGTCGAGGATAAAGCCTAGCGAAAACTAAATTCCACACCTAGGAAGAGCTCACAGAGGAGCATGAGGTGATCCCGAGACTCCGCTGAAAAAGTGCATAGACAACACTCATTTGATTGAATTTGCTCCCAAGAACCCAATCTTTGACGAGTTGACAATTATTTAAGTATCTCATGGGTAGAAGAGTGTCGGTCCAAGAAGTATCTCAGTCCAAAATCAAAACAATCTTTGTCGAGGATAAATCCTAGAGAAAACCAAATTCCATACCTCGAAAGATCTCACCGAGGAGCAGGAGGTGATCCCATACTCTGTTACAAAAGTACAAAAACAACACTCATCAGATTGAATTTGCTCCCAAGAAGCCAGTCATTGACGAGTGGGCAATTATTTAAAATAGTCTGGAGAGGAAGGGCATGATATCAAAATTAACGTAAGAGTTTTGACATCAATATCTTTAGGATAATGGAAGGAGTTTCCAAATGAACATAATCTTTAAACATTATTGTCATTGTCACATTATTAAATTCGAAGTCAAGAACTATTGGTACCTTCGAAATTTCTGTTGTTTGTAGTTGTGAGCGTCTCCGGTATCGACTACCGTGGTTTTATGTCAATAAATTTTTCGCTAAGTGGAGGCAATGTATTGATGACATTACCATATGTATATTCAGATTTGCAAGAACTGAAATGAGTGAAAGTATTTTGTTTTGGTTTTGTTATTTAACATGTATTGTTGGGGTTTGAGACATTGAAACTATATTCCTTTGATAATTAAGGTACACGAAGAGGTACTGCTTCATACAAGTGTTCGCAGATTCTATTCAATCATTCTTGTCATGATGTAACGAGGATGCGAGATATCTTTTCCAACAAGAAGAAAGGACAAATGTCACACATCCAATTTTGATCTTTTGATTATCTTTGGTTGTTGATGAGCAAACCAAGACTACTAAATTTATATTTTCTGGTTCTAATGATTTTAGTTTTCCGTTTTGCATTTTACTATATTCAGAGGATAATAATCACTATTTTCTCGCAATAATATATCAAACGTTATGGCGTTTTACCATAATTCTATATTAATGTCGTTATAAAAATTATACTCTTGACAAAATTAAATCAATAATTGTCTAAAACTTATAACCCTAAATGACTAAATCTGGTTTTAATCAACATACAACCCCGCATCGGGCGCGGGGACCTCCCCTAGTCAGACCTATGAAGGTGGATTGTTGATTCTTCGAATATGCACATTAGTAGTGTTATCTCGATGAGAAAAAAAAATTAGTGCGAGCATCATGTGCACATCATGATAGTCAATGGACTATAGCTTGGGCTAAGTTTGTGTATAATGATTTTTCATGTCTTTTACGAAAGATGACATGAAACCATGATCTCAAATTTTGTAATCTCACTAGATTGTATCAAATTTTTCCTGACAACCTAGGATCCATTTATTAAAGGTGTGTTTAGGAGATCAAGTTTTGAAACCATCATAGAGAATGAGTTTAAAGCCTATGACTTAACAGGATGTTTGATGGATACCCCACATACTTGACTGGAAATCCCAGAATATCGGTTCAAATGAAAAACTAAATCAAGCAGAATCTGATAAAGCACTGAAAGATGTCATGTCAATACCTAATTCTCCAAATGATCAATAGTGTTTCCACGAATTTACGAGGTTAAGCGTTGCTTTTAATGAATGAATCGATAGCTTTCATATATACTATTACATGATCCTTTATTAAATGATAGGGGCGAGTGGAAATCATCTAGTGAGTTTGAAATGGGGCCATTTCTAAGAAGATGAAGATTATCATACTATATTCTCCAAGTTCACTCATGAAGAACCAGACAAATTCAAAGCCACAATAAAGAACTAAGTTCTACACAGAAAAAGAATTGGGTTATACATGTTGTCTTAGTCTACATAAAAATATAGGTGGTTCAAGACATCATACCTCCTGATCCAATAAAACTAAAAGCTGCAAAAGTAATTTTGGGCCATTCATCAAAATTTACACAAATTTTCAATTTTTTGGGCTTTTATTTACACTACAATTTATTTTGGGCCACTATTCTAATTATATTTGTTTCCCAATGAGCCATTTTACATATATAGATTTTTGAAATGAGGATGTGCTTTAAAACGTGTTCACTTATGTTCACCCATGTATACGTTTGTATGAAAAAAAAAAAATCAAAACATATCAGACAACATAATATAAAATATTGAATCTATTGGAGTTAATATGTCCACAAAGGTATTGTATTTTTGATTTAAATCGTATAAAGTTTTCAAAAAATAAGCAAAAACCAAAAAAATAAAATCCAAAAGCATTATCACCTTTTAATTATTTAAAGTATATGTGTTTGTTTGTTTATTTTAGGAGTATAGATTCATCACCACTCCTATCATAAATTTGACATTAAAAAAAATCTAAACTTTTCTATCCTAAAAAATAAGTATGTAATTATTAAATGTAATTATTAAAAATAAATAGCTAATCAACGACCTAATACAAAATATTATACAGAAAAGTGGATAAATAAAAATAAATCCATCTTTAATACAAAATAAGTAACTAAGTTATACAAACCAAATATAAAAAAAAAGTAGAAATTTATTGATGTCTTCTCCTAGCTCTTGGATAAATAACCGAACCGAACCAAGATTTTGGTTGTTCGATTCAGCTTTGGCTGTAGGTCTTGAACTGGTCGACAAAATGTTAAAGTTACTTTGGTTAACTGAGAACTTCCGTTCGATTTGGTTCTTGACTAACCAAAATATTTTTTAATAATCAGATTATACCACAATTAGATCGGTTTTACCAAATTTAAACCAGTTTTCTCCAATAACTGAACTAAACAAAATCGAATTATCTAGATTTAGCAGAAGAAAAAAAACGAATTTATCTAAAATTGACTACAAAAAAAACGAATTTATCAAAATTAATTTTATGTTTAGTTTTGAAACAAAATAGAAATAAAAGTAACCAATAATGTATAGCAGGAGCCATAATACTAGTATTTTACAATCTCTAAGTCAATTTAGACATTTTTTTAATTTTAGTTGACTTCAAATTTTTTTTTTTGTTAAATTCGGCTATGTTCAATTAGATCTTTTTTTTTTTTTCACACCCCATTGCTATGCATAGTGCGCTTATTTTTATGTTCACTAAATATTTAATCCATTTAAGTTATAAAAACTACGAAACTACGTTAGTCCATTTTTTTGGGGTAAACTTGATAGTTTTACATTATATTGGTAAGTTGTAGGAGTATAAGTTTTCGAATTACAATGTAAAACTATCAATTGACAAAAAAAAAAAAAATTGGATCGAAGAAAAAAAAAAATGTAAAACTATCAATTTTACCCCACAAAAAAAATTACTGTCGCCATTTAAGACCCTGAATAACTGGTGCCAATGATAAATGGGCTAACGTATACGTGTAGGGTGTAACTTTACGGGATGGTACGATTAAAGAAACACATTAGCAATAAGTAATAACTCTCCATAATATACAAAGCATGCTTTGTTTTGATACTTAGTTGGTGATGGAATAGGGTTGATGAGTAGCCTGTTAGAACTCCTTCTGTTTCTATTTTTTTAGTGATTAAAAGACAGACCATTATGGACATTACTAACTCTATGCCTTTTTCCTTTACTTTTATATTTAATATCAGCCATACATGACTTGCGTAGCTATCGCCTTCCTGAAAAAGACCTAAATCATATATGCACGCATATATATACACCTCCATACATCAACTTTATGATATATATATATGTGTGTGTGTGTTTGTTAAGTAAATGTCAAAGGATGAATCAAATAAAATGGATATTATGAAATATAAAGACATTAGATTAATTATATACCATAACATTTCAAAAAACAATTTATCTTGTAATGAATCATATTCTTGAAAAAAGCTTATGCTAGAAATAATACAGTTTGCATTTGGTTAAAGAAAAAGAGAAATAAAAAAAATGATGTTGATTATGTTAAAATCAAATATCTACATGACTACAACTAATGGTGGGTCAAGTACGCATGTTAAACAGTGTTCTCGCTAATCCTAAAAGTCTTTTTGAATATTATTTGTGATGATTGAAGACTAACATAAAAGTCGCAGTGAAGAAAACTGTAAAAGAGACTTTGAGTTTAAGGCTAAAAGTTCTCTCTTTAATATCTTTATATAAAGATAAATATAAAGCGAACATTTAGTACCCATATGACTTAATTAGATATGAAATATATCTTGTATTATTTAGGCTTTTTTGGTTATCATTTTTAAAATTATATGTAGATGCTCGTTACGGTATATATACATTTAAATAAGTATGAGGGAAATTATAGTAGTTATGAAAATTGGGCATATGATAACATTAAATCAAGTATTTAGTTTCATATATCTCTAGCCAAGGATCACATTAGGTCATATAAGATTTTTTTTGTGTGTGTGTGTGTGTGCATAGCATTGCATCTTGACTATAGTAGAAATTAAAACTGAAGTTAAATATTGTATTATCTATGTAACTATACGAATATATATGTATATATATTATCTATGCAAACCGAGATATCTTTGTATATAATTTACATCGAAGGGGATGGATAGAAATATAATAAAATGGAAGATTTTTGAGCCGGGCTATGTGAGATCATAGCATGATTACAAATTAGATGATCTAGAAACACGTACTATAATACAACTAAATACATACTATATAACTTGATTAAACTCTTCTCTCTCCGAAGTCTTAAAAAGTAAACGATACATCTTTATTAATACTCAAAAAAAAAATGAAGTTATACCTATATCACATATGCTACAAACCTCTGTTCCTACTTAGCGTCGATTGTATATTTTGTGGTGATTAAACAAAGCCGATGCTAAATGTAATGAAGAAAAGACATTAGAAAGCCAGCAACATCGGTTTACCTAAACCGGCCAAAAACTCCTCATGAGACCTATCAACCGGATCCGGCCAAAAGAAAAAAAAAAACAATTGCCCCGGGAAAAAAAAGTTGCTCATTTCTTATTCTCTTCATTGGTTTGAGTGTTAATAGTATCGGATCTGATCTGCGAAGGAAGAATATCTTGAAGCAATCCATGATCTCTAATGGAAGAAGAAGTTGATGTAGAAGCTTGTGACATATCATAACCAAATCCGGGGAATGATGATGATGGCTCTGGATTTACGAAAGTACCATCGGATGAGCTTCTATTGATCATATTTAGAGAGTTGTTGTTGTACATGTTGTAGGGCTGGTGATGTTGAGTCAGCAAGTAACGTGGCTGAGGGATGGAGAATGATGATGATGACGCGGTGGTTGCACCGTGATCTAGGATTGGTGATGTCAGCATTCCGATGTGTCCACGTGGAGTCATGGGGAAAGGGTGAGTGTGTTGACCTTCGTAGGTTGTCATGACGATTGAAGGATCATCGGAGGATCTCTCCACTCTCTTCTTCACTCCGCAACCCACTGTGGTGCAACGGTAATAGCTTCTGTATTTTCATGACATTAGAAAAAATATTAAGTAATAATACATTTTCAAAAGATCTCTTATCTAATCTAGTTTGAAACATGGAAGATATACAGAGAAACAAAAGATCTCGAGATCTGCAATGAAGTTTGGAACAAGATGAAACAGAAATCTTCCGACACAAGCAACAGAAATTAAGGAAAGAAAAACACAAAACACAGAAACCTCATGGAATGGAACAAAAGAAAAGATATTCTCGAAAACAAAAATTCAGACAATTTTTTGACCCTACAAAAACGCGTATTAGGTATATACAGTCGTTATATATTAACATATAGTGAATGATATGATTGAATAGACTCGGCATATATAGAGAACACTGAATCTAGGGCTACTCTATACACACATAAATATAAATAAATTTGTATATATGACTAGAGATACGGTGTGTTATATATCTGAATGAACATGTATATATAGTATACAGTATGCAGAAAATGTTGATGATCCTTATGAATGGATAAACCCGATCTAGTGAAATATACTTACATATGCATATAAAATAGATGTGCATATATATATTTACATATAAAGTATATGTAAACACATGCATATCAGCATATATAGTGAGGATGGTCTAAACGGATCTAGCTAGGGCTGCAATATATATGTATATACAGAGTTATATGTGTGTATACCTGGGATAAGGACTGTTTTTGACAGCTTTTTGGCCGTATTTTCTCCACCTATAACCGTCGTCAAGATTATCAATATCACTCTTCGTCAGAAACGCAAACCTAGCTTCTCTAGCTTTCTTCTGGTTCTTCTTCTTTGCCTTCAACCTTTTAAGAAAAAAAAAAAAAAAAAAACACAATAATTAATAATAATCCAACACAAATCAATATTAAAATGGAGGGTTAATGAATCACTTACTGTGGCTTAGTACCCTTTTGCTCTTGTTGTTGATCTCCTTCTTCTTGATCTTTAACAGTAACTTCTTTTCCACTGTTGTTATCATTTGCAGCTTCGTTAGAGGAAGATGAGACTGAGGTTGAGTTTGGAGAAGTCGGTGTTGTGTTCACAACTTCTGATGACTCAGCTTGAGGCAAGGGCAAATCCGTAAAAAAGTTGTTGTTGTTGTTGGGAAGAGGAAAGGCATCGAATGAAAAAGAAGAGGAATTAGAGGAAGAAGCAAATTGATGATGATCTTGTCGGAGCAAGTCGAGGAAAGAATTGGGATTATTAGAAGAGTGATCTTCGAAATAAGAATAAGGAAAAGGTAAAGATGAAGTATCGAAGATGCTTGAGAGATTTCCAGCTAGCTCCAACTGATGATGATCTGATGACGTAACTAGATTCGCCATGTTTGATGATGATGATGCTTGAGAGATTTCTTGTTTCTGTTCTTGTTCTTGTTCGATCTTTGTCTCTGTGTTCTTGATCTCCTTTTGTTGTTGTTGTTGTTGATGATGATGATGATCCTCTTCTTTCTTATTCTCCATGTAATAGAAAAGATGGAATCTATGAGATGATACTTTTATAGATATATCATCTTCTGAGATTTCGTGAGGGAAAAAAAGGAAAAGTTTTCTTTAGCTTTCTGGGTGATTATATGTTTTTTATTTTGTAATGGTTATAAGATTTGAGATAAGAGAGAGAGGTGTGAATATAACTTTTATGGAGTTTTGGGTTCTTCTGGAAAACAGCTTGGATTTAGGAGGTTTCCCATTTGTTTTTTTTTTTTAATTATTTATTATTTCGTCTCATTTACGCGGGCAAAAGAATATAAAATAAAATAGAATTAAAATATAATAGAAAGGAGAAAGAAAAAAAAAACACTGGTCACCGGTAAACGCCGGTGATGGGTGTGGCGTACGGTTGTGAATGGATCAAGACGGTGCCGTCCTCTGCCGGGCATTTAATTTTTGTCCCTTCATTTCAGTTTTTTCTTCTTCTTTATTCCCACATTGTGTCGTGTCTCGGCATTGTTATAATTTGGTCTCTAATTCTTGAATACTAACTTGACTTCTTCTAGTCCAAATATAATTCGGGCTCGTTACATTTCATATTTGCTATGAACGCGTGTGACATCATAAGCTACGGATGGGTTTGATGAGTTTTGTATTAACTAAAATAACGCCTTAACCCATAAACCGATATAGAGATATTTTTGTTTTATTCTTTGTAAACATGTTTTTTTACTAATTTTATATACTAGATGGCTAGCCTGCAACAAGCGTTTAACACAATATAATTTAATCAGTGAAAACTATATATCACCTAGATCAATAATGCTGTTAAAAAAATAATTTAATAAAAACACTAAATGAAGTATGAATAAAAGTTTAGATAGATTTCTTTTTCTAAAATAATTATAAAATATGATGAAATGCAAGATATGATAAATTTTGTTCTAGAAAATTATTTTAGTCGATTTCAAATATATTTTTTTTAAATAATTTTTGTATCAAGTCGAATTATGTGATAGCCCCAAGTTGTAATAGATTAATAGTTTTTGTTTAATATCTGGATTTTTTTTATGTAGATCATATATTGATTCTCTCTTCAAATTATGTTTGATTGATTATCCTAATACGTCTTTAATGATAAAAAAATTAAAAACTTCATGAATTTTAAGAATTAGTTTGGATTTCTTGCATATAAATTTGTCTGATTTTTTGTAAAAATAATCTTGATAGAATGGTGACCCTTGTTTTTACGCGTATACAAAGAAATAACCGGTTAAAACGGTAAGACCAAGGGATACGAGGAAAGGCGCGTGAGGGAAGACACGTACGAAACCAAAAGGTGTGGGTCTGCCGCATCTGATTATTACTCTTTTTACTTTTTAGTAATTTGTTTTCATTTTGTATTTTTAAACTCCTCGCGGCTTTGTTTGATTTAACTTTTAACGACAACTTGTCTTTTCCAATATAATTGTTTTTTTACGGGAAAAGAAAAACTTTGTGATCCTCTCCTGACGTAAAATTTTATAATTCGCCTAATTCTATTTTGACTTGAACGTCTTGTCGCCGATTCTTTTCATACATATTACACTTGCAATAGTTAATCTCTCTTTTCTTAGTAAAGATTTAAATTAAGGACCAACTATAATTAGATTAATCACTACAAAAACTATGACAAGCTCACTAGTGATAAACACGCAGTTTTTTTAGTAACTTTCTTTTTATTTGGCGCATTTATCAAAGTGAGAGAACATAGTATTAATGTGAGACTTTAAAGTGATTACATTTTTTACAGAATTAATATTCCCTTATGATACATAAATATACTAAGCTAACGGCAATTCCTATAAGGAATTTCAATTATAAAAAAAATGGAAACAACGTGAGAACATACTTTCACGTAGATAGAGAGTATAAGATGAGAAAATGTGCTCTGAGGGAAAGATAAAACCAACAGAAAGAGACAAAATTAGTTGAAATTCAAGTTAATAAATTAATTAATTGAATAAATTGAGAAACAGTAAAAAGTAGGAAAGTAAATGAAAAAAACAATTAAAAATAAGGAATAACGCGTAAGAAAGAAGCTTCGAAAATAAGCTGACACAAAGCATACGTCAGCAGAGAGTTTGCTTCTTCTCCGACAAGTCATCGGTCATCAAATCTCGTTAACTATTTATTGTTCCACGCCTCCACCCATCATTTCTATTTTTGTTAATTTCTAATAGGAGTATAAGGACGATTTTTCAAAAATCTTTTTTTCAAATCATTTATTACTTTGTATAAAACCAAATAAATTCGACTTATAGTTAATAGTTTAATGGCGAATTTGAAATTGGTTAAAGGATTCAAACAGTTATAGATGAACAAATGGTACAGAATATGTGAAACGGTATATAATATATGCAGTGAACAAAATCAACGGTGATTTTTAAATGTTATCATTAATTAGTAAAATTTTAATTAATTTCTACTATTTTGGTTTTTCTAAATGATTTTCTAATTTGATCGATAAAACTGAATTACTAAAATCAGTAAAGTGGTATAAAAGATTTACAGCTTTGTATCTTACCATTTTGAGTTTTGTTTTCTTCGTTACAAAATCATGAAATTAAACTTTTGTTGGGAGGTGGGGATTACACGCTTTTCTCAGAACATAACCTTTTGTGTCTGATGAGAATGGAGTGTCAAGGTCATGGACCCATCCGACCCGGCCCGACCCAAAAGCTTAACACTGCAAAAATCGTATATCATCAGGCAGCTGTTTATATGACATGTGGTTGATCAAACGGCCAAAATATCACAAAGGAGAAGGTTGTCATAAGCACGTGTGGTTATAACGCGTTATTAGCTGTTTTATTATCCCTACCCTCAATCCCTCATGTCGGTTGCTTCCTACTCAAGCCATTCTTCTTTTATTTTTTGAGTAAACACGTTACTTTAATAAAAAAAAAAAAATTATAGGTTAATAAATGATATTGGATCATTAGTATGAATGATTAATTAATTAGTAGATAATATGTGGTGAAAAATGAGAAAACGCGTGATCAAATGCTACGTTACTTTTTAACCCAAATATTTTAAAATACTTTGCTAATTCATACTTACCATTTAAAAAATGTTATAAATCCGCATGTGGTAGGGTGTGGTTAAAGATCTTGGTTTCAGGGTGTAAATTTGTAAAAGCTATGTGTTCGTTTCCACTTCAAAGTCGTTGACTCGTTGTAGTGTGGCCATTTAGACTCTTTGATTTTGTTTTGAATATATTAGATGCATGCGGCTAGTATTTGAAAAACTCTTGCAAAATATTTATTCACCTCGAATTAGTCGGGTTTGACGACCCGAACACCAGTGACAATAAAAAAATGCTATGTTGCAAATACTTACCATCGATCCAAATTCAGTACGTACATTAAGTGTTTCACACATTCGAACTAAACCTCACAATTGCTAATACTTACCATCGTTCCATTTCAAAATGTATGTTTCAATGTTTCACGCATACGTACAAAACCTCACAAATGCTAATACTTACCATCGATCTTAAAAAGTACATTTGAGTGTTTCACGCATACGTACCAAACGTACGTGACGTGTGAGGTTGTGTGTGTAGACGCGTGCACTGTTCTTTTGTACGAAAAGATATGTAATGTGCCGTCTTGAGGTGATTGATATATACACAAATGAATGATTAATGAAACTAATTAATGGAAACAAAATCTCATTAATATAAAAACTGGTTTGACATGGTCCACTCGTAAAAAGTTTAGCAGCCGCAAACTAAGGACGTACGTCCACACACTCCCTTTTCTTACGTTTTACTTTAAAAGATAAAAACAATTCGAAATCGCCAAATTGCTAATACAATACTTGTAACCACAATAAACCACTCGGTCCTTCTTTATTATATTTCCATTTTGTACACATATATCAACATCTGTGTACGCAACGACTCCGATTCCTACTTATATAATTAATTATTATCAAGCATAGTATTGATTTTTTTTTTTCCTCGAAAAGAAATATACTAAAAAATAGAAAGGTATTGTATCTTCACTACTAACATATAATTAATTTTCGTTCACACACACACACAAACATATCTAAGTGTAGTGCGATTAGTTAGACTAAAAGGGTCTAATACTTAATTATGTCATATAAAAACATACTATTTTAGTTCCTATACTGACTTTAATCTCACATTCCAAAACTATATTTTATATATATGCTAGATATGTAGCATGTATGTCGTATGCATGTGTGTGCACATGGGACATGGATGATATCGGGGTTTGTTAATTAAGTTTGAATTTGTAAAGTTATTATATTATACGGGAATAAAACTATTGCTTCTCCAAGCTGAAAAAATAAAGACAATGGGTATGATTGACCACAGGATCATAGCTAGCTAACTGCTAAAGTTCACGAGACCAGATCTAAGAAAATGTATATATATTTCATTATGGGTGAGAAGAAGTGGTCAAAAGTCAAAGGTGTTGACCATCAATTGTTCAACCTAGCTTTTACACTCGAGTTATCCTAAATAATTTCAGATTTTCCATTGCAAGTGATCACATGTAGGTATTTTTTCTCGCACTCTAATTCTTAGAGCTTGCTAGTAAAAAAAATTTAGCACTCCAGAAAATTAAAATTAAATTTTAGATCAACAGAGAGTACAATATCACAACTACATACAATTTCTTAGAGCTTGAGAGTTAAAAAAATAAAATAAAAAAATCAGGAGAAGGTGGTGGCATAATGTCCCACCCTAATATCTTACTATCTTAGGGTTATTCCAATCCCACAAATGTGGTTGAACTGCCTTTCCCCAATGGGAGTTTAAATAGACTATAACTTTTTGGTCAATTGGTAAAGTATGCATGTTCTAACATCAGCATATGGGGTGGTAAGGATTGTAGAAATTTGTATAATGCATGAAAGCTTAATTCACAACATTGAACTATCTAAAAGTAATTAATCTTTTGATTTTAAAAATAGTTATAGTCAGAAACCTCTAATTACAACAAATAAGCTTACAACAAAAATTCTTTTTATTAAAGGCCTTGAATGGATCGACGGGAGAAAGACAGTCCACACGCATAATGGGAGAACCACACTTGTTTCACCATTCACAAATTTATGAACGTAAATAATTTTTTTTTTAAAAAGCAGATAAAAAGAGGATGGACTGCAAATGGATCAAATTTACAAAGGAACGCATGTAACAGTAGAAACGCATCATATTTGATGTGTATCATGTGCAGATCTAAATTTTTATGCACATATTTTATTTTTATTTTTATTTTAATTTCAAAAATACTAAAAATTGTTTGGATTCAATTGTTTTATTTAGAAGTGTGCATTTCGGTTTAACTTCGGGTTCGGTTCAATTTATTTGGGTCTCGTAAAACTCTAACCAAATTCAACCGAAGTTAGTTTGGTTCGGTTTGTGTTTGGGTCAGTTTATGTTCGGTTCGGTTTGGTTCAATTTGGTTTTAGTTCGGTTCAATAAACTATGAACCAATAGTAATCTGAAACAACTAATTATTTTTAATAATTACGTCTTAAATCTATAATTTATTAATATCAATTAAAAAAATAAATAAAGGAAAAACCTAAAAAATCAATTTTCGTGGAACAAACCTAAAACACTAGAACAACAATCTTCTAGGAGCAGAGAGGGTATTTCTAAAAAATAAAAAGAAGTTTCGATGAAGCAGTAGAACCGCTTTATTATTCACCATTCAACATAAAAAAATTGCAAATATTTCTTAAACACATGTATAAAAATATACTGCATATTTATTTTAATATAAAAGATTTAGTATGTATAGATCACGAATAATATTTTACTTAAAATTAACGTTTTTTATAATATAAATATTTCATCCGCACCACATGATATGTTTTTACCATTCAGTATATATTTAAAAGCGTTCGAACCGCTTGATCCGCACTTGTACCGCCAGATCTGCTTGATCCACTTTTGTTCTGCTTGATACGCTTGATCCGCTTGATCCGCTCCGCTTTCTCCGTTCGGAGCCAAAATCTGGCACTACACTTCGAACCAATCACTGGCTATATATATATATATAATGAGTAGCTGACTTATATATATTGATATAATATCCTTTGACCATATATACAATTTCAGAACCCAAATGCTTTAAAATTAAAATTAAAAGAGTACCGCCAGATCTATTTAAAAGCAGTAGAACCGCTTTATTATTCACCATTCAACATAAAAAAATTGCAAATATTTCTTAAACACATGTATAAAAATATACTGCATATTTATTTTAATATAAAAGATTTAGTATGTATAGATCACGAATAATATTTTACTTAAAATTAATGTTTTTTATAATATAAATATTTCATCCGCACCACATGATATGTTTTTACCATTCAGTATATATTTAAAAGCGTTCGAACCGCTTGATCCGCACTTGTACCGCCAGATCTGCTTGATCCACTTTTGTTCTGCTTGATACGCTTGATCCGCTTGATCCGCTCCGCTTTCTCCGTTCGGAGCCAAAATCTGGTACTACACTTCGAACCAATCACTGGCTATATATATATATAATGAGTAGCTGACTTATATATATTGATATAATATCCTTTGACCATATATACAATTTCAGAACCCAAATGCTTTAAAATTAAATTTATAAAGCTAAAATTTATAAAGTTTTGAAAAAGATTGTCATGTCACTTGTCACGCTGAAAGGAATAAAGGACAAAAGAGTTAGCTATCGTCGGTCCAAAGCCAAATGAGCCATGTGTGTGTTTGTATAATTGTAATTAGGTCCTCATGTAAACTGTATTCATTGACTTTGAAACCGGATGTATATCTGTTCTAAAGCAGGTGTTTTATACATTTGTAAGGATATATACATGATTGATCACATTAAACCGGCATCAGAGCAAACCAACTTATAAGATAATAAGATATAGAGATTTTCGAGACAAATTTCGAATATCATACTATATATGAAACAAGACTAATACAAGTGATTTTGAGGCAAAAATTATTGGTAGTGGTCAGAGCTACGTCTTAAAAGAAACTGAATACCAAGTACCAACCTAAAACAAACGACATATGTATATACAAATGGTTTTAGACAAAAAAAAAACAGTTTTCTCCGTACTAATCCAATTTATCTTTTAAGTATATGAATTTGGTAGCTAGATCTCAGATGTCTAAATGATATATTAGTAAGTAGTGTAGATTTGGTTATAAAGATAATTTAAAAAATATACAATGTAGATCCTCTAGTCGATTAAACACAAAAAAAAATGAAGAATAAAGGTCAAGATTCGTTCTGAGTAAAATGCAGGAGGGCGGGAAAACAACCTGTTGACTTAGCAAATCAGTTTTTCGTATAAAGAAATGTCAAGTGAGAACATCTACCGATGATTGCGGCCTCGCTGAGTTTTATATTTTTATTACAAACCAAAAATTTTATTTAGTAGTTTTAATAATTTGTCCCAAGAAAATTACAAGAAGAAAAGAAAAGGTCAAAGTCAACAGATGAGTATGTTTGATTTGATTAAAAATGGAATAATAATATTTGTAACGCAAAACCCTAAAACGCGTTATTTTGGGCACAAAGAGACAAAAACACTTTAATAAGTCTGAGAGGGGACAGACACAGCTTTGCTTCTCCAAAATCCCCCTCGTTTTCCGTGTACGCTTCTCTCTTCTCTCACACTATTTTGAGATTACGATATCTATCTACAATTCTATTTCTAAATTCTAATAGTAATACAAATTTTAAAATATTTCGTGCCATTTTTATCTTCTAGATTTAAATAAAAATTTTGTCCTTCCATTTTTATATATTCTATGTTTATTATGGAACATATGTAATATACCGTTATTCCAAATCAAGTAACCAAATTTCTTCATAGCATCGTTCGATTTCTATCTTGAGTTTTTTGGATTGAATATTAAGTTTGGTTTATTTAAATTAAACAACACTACTAATTTTAATATAGTTAAGTAAGTCATTGAAAAGCTTAACATAATCACTGATTTACGCGATCAAATAATGTCTTATATACTTAACAACTACGAATGTTGCTATCATCTCGATTTTATGTATTGATTATAAACATTAAAAAATAGTATGGTATACGTCTATAAGAAAGTCAACTTGAGTCAATTCGAATCTTAACTACGTCTAATGCATCCAACGTTGAATAAAATAGGGAAAACAACCCCAAAATTTACAAATTCTTTGAATTGTAATGAGAGTTGAAATTTCATGTCCGTATATATATCAAAGTTGTTAGACCCAAAAAATGTCTTTTGTGGGAGAGCTATAAATGCATTTACATGTCATTATCAACATATATACAATATAACATAAATCTTCATGGTCCATGTATTCCCAAACTATTTTATGTTTAACCAATCACCAATATACATCAATATCGAGATCGTATATAATCATAAGAAGAAGTGTTTTTTCGGACATTAGATGTACAATATATCAAGCTAGTGTAATAGAAAATATTGGTGTAAAGAGTGGTTTAAAAGAGGCCAAATATGAAGGATATATTTGGAAGTAAAATAAATAAAAAGTTGTCAAAAAAGAAGAAGTGAAAGTCAATAAGTGAAAATGGACCATCATTAATTGAGAGGTCCATTTTCTATGGGTCAACTCAAGCCCTAACCATCAACAAAAAAACTCTTCTCCATTTACATTTTCTTTATTACTTTTTTTTTTTGTTTGCTCTCTCTTAACAATATTCTTTATTTGGATACGACGGAAATCTCAAAATGATCATAAATACTCTCAACTTGTTAAAGGGATTATACAGAACATGGTACCCAAATTGATGCCTAAAAAAACTATATCCAAATTATTTGAATATGGCAAAGATCATCATCCTTTTTAGTACATGAACAAAAATCATAATTTCTGACCAAATAACCAAAAATAAGAGTTTTATTGTGATTTTATAATGGTTGGTTAAATCCTCCCAAAATATTTACTATAAAAATGTCGCATCAGTGACAAGAAAATATGTTATATTCAGAAAATGAATCTTATTCTTCAAATGGATATGCACTAATGAGAAAAGCAAATAAAAAGGTGCGATTTGTTCACGTTTTGTTTCGATCATTTCCACTTTTTGCTAACCAAAAGCATAAGCCGTCACCAATATTGAACCTAAAAATTTCCGAGAAAATGACACAACTTGACTTTTGGTAATTTCTCATCCTTTTACTTCTAGAAACATATCTTATTAACACTTAGAAGTTGGAAAACTGATCAAGACTACCAGATGATGCAAATAGTTTGATATATCTATAACATCCTTACAAAAGTAATACGTCAATAGCGGGAAACACAAGCTGATCAAAACTCAACAGATATGTAGCGAGAAACGGAGGGTAAACGATGATAACAATGCTAATGTTCTATTCATAGGTTGTTCACAGAAACAAAATTTCATCAAGATAGCAAATATTAAGGGTTACAAACAACCCGATTAGGGCAAAAGGTGTCCCAATAATCATATTACCTCGTTTAAGCCCACGCGATTATAATTTGGATCTGTAGTTCATGAATCTGCAGCAGCAATAGCAGTAGGGGTAACTTGCTTAACCCTCCTTTGATGAACATCCCAGTTATAAACACGCGCAATAGTTACCTGTCCATCATAAAAAAATCCTAGTCAAGAACGATAAACTACTCTTTACTCAGACTCTGTATCTACGATACGTGTTGCCTAAATTGCAATTTTGGGTTGTTTGATGATTTACAGTTATGTTAAAGTAAGATCAGGCCCCTACTTCTATATGAATTCTCGGGAATTAGGCGCCAACTCATCTGAGATGAGATAAATTTAAAAGTATCTCTGTACCTGAGTAACTGTGACTTGATCCCTTAAGAACTGTAAATCAGCTACGAGAACCTCCAGGCTGGCTTTAGCATTTTCCAGATTGTTTTTCAGAAGAGCTGAAGCCTGTTGGAACAACAAAGATTATAAGAACTTATTCTATGGTCCCGGAGATTTAAAATATCGAAGAGAATATGTTTTTAGAGTAATGGACCTCTTCACAGGAATATTCCAGCATGACATTAGCTCCCAACCACAAACACACTGAGTCTGTGTCTTCAATGCAGGCCCGTGAATAAATTCCTTCAGACACCTCAAAATCGGCTAAAAGCGCCTGCATTGTAAAAAGAATTCCATGTGAGAAAATAATGATGAAGAACACAAGAATCAACAGTAAGTCTAAACATCAAAACAACTTTTATATAACAAAAAAGATGAAACATCGCCCACTACTATCTATGTGTCAGTGATTCTTCCAGTGAAGCTAAATCTCAACACTGTTCTGCTGTTACCATCAAACACGACTTTAAGACACTAATTTAAGGGCCCATAGGAACAAATAAGAAAGCTGATTAGTGATTTAGACATTGTCTTTCCAAACCAATCAACATCGATCTTCAAATTCTAAGGAAATGTTTTAAGTAAGCCTGACTCGCGCAAAGAGAAAAGGAAAAAATCTTCACATGGACACCAAGTTGGCACGCTAACATTGGTAAGAAATCAAAACACAACAAAGTTCAACCTTATAAAATTAAAATTCAGGATTCCGGATTCAAAATTTCAAACAACATTTATATTTAGTCATCATCCCCCTCAAAAATAGCAGCAAGAGACTGATCACAACATCAAAACTAAACATAAAAAAAAAACAGAACAGCATTTACACAAAAACAAATGAAGAAAGACTAATAAAGTATAACTCTGAACTACTAGAGACTTCTTTAAAACTAAACAAATGAAAATGAACAACAACGAACCTCACCAGTACCCTTCCTTGCTTCCAAAGTAGCAACAACCTCTAAACACTTCTCAATATCTGGAATTTTAGCCTACACATGTATCAACACTAGTAAGATATCATCACTTGTGCCATCAAAAGTTAGATACAAATAAAAAGACAAGTGAACCTGAAGATCTCTTTGCTGAGCAAGAAGCTTCATCTCAACAACTTTATACTGCTGAAGCCTAAAACCATAGAAAAGGAATCACTAGCATAAGCATGAAGGAATCAATCACAAGTAATGATTTTGGATTCAATTGATTTTAAATCCGTTGGAGATCTAGGATTTGAGCTTAAGAAGAACAAACCCAGATAAGTGTGAGTGAAAATGAGAGTAGAGAGTGAGAGAGATATGGAAAAGGAGAAACCTTTCTTGATGGAAGGCGAGAGCAGAGTTAGGATCGAGACCAGACTGAGAGAGATAAGTCTCGACATCTTGAATGAATTTGGCGGCAGGGATTCCTCTTCTCTCAGTCAAATCGCTACCGCTTCCACTCGGAGAAGACGAAGACATCTTCGAATCGGATTCCGATTTGGGGATTTAGGGTTTTAAAAGCTTCGACTTGGTTTCTCGATTGTTTTCGAATCTGTCGACTTTGGGACGAGAGAGTGAAACCAGCGAGCGACGGACCAAGAGTCGGAAATACGACGTCGTATCAAGAACAGTTAAACGACGCTGTTTTGAAGTGGGCTTAAGGCCTTGCTTATGATGAAGTAGCCCATTATGGTAAATGCCGTCGTTTAAAGTTTTTTTTTTTAATGATGAAATTGTACCATTGGTTTGACACCATTTATATTTTGATTAAATCTCTTACAAAAAAAAAAAAAGTAAATTGCATGGCAGGGCATAAGACCATCTTTTAATTTCATGGTTTGGCAAAGTGAGAATTGGTTTTCATGTTTTGACAATTTAGCCAAAATCTGACCATTTTACCCCTGTCAGCGTACCGACGTACTGTTCCGTGTACGGTTCAATTAAGCGGTTCAGTTAGGTACACTGTTCCGGTTTGATTAAGATAATTTCGTTTTTTATGGGTTTTGTGCGGCTGTACAGTGAAAAGGAGAAATAATAACATTAAAAAAGAAGGTGACATCAGTATTTAATGGCTAAAAAGTTTAGACAAGACTCTTGTCACATTTAATGCAAAACTCATCATTACACTTGTTGTAATATTAGTTTATACGTTTTCATTGAATAATTGTAAGAGATAAGCATGAACCATCAAACAAAAAAATTAGTCTGAACGAATGTGATGCTGGAGAAGTTTTGATCCTCTTGATTTACAAAGTTTGGAGCCAAGACAAGCATTGATCGTGTAAGTAATGCATTTGGTTAAGAAGTTTTTTGTTATAACACAGTAGGATCTTGATTGTGTTCGAAATCAACATTATTTTTTATATAAAAACCCATAAATTTTTATTTCCAATTTTGTTTGTTGAAAATGCTAAATGAGGAAATATATATATGTTTATAAGTGTGTAGTTGGAAATTCTTTTTGTTTTTTGTAGATATAATCATGTATTCAGTTGCATTTAATGGGGTTCTGCTGAATTTATGATGTAGGTGGGTAATGGATATTCCCGTATTTACTACGGTGGGTGAGTGGAGATGCAAAGAAGAAGAATGGAAATTTGAACCAGAGGAAGGCATGTTTGGTCGTTGTGTACGTGTTAAGGAAAACATGACGTACACGGAATTTGTACGTACATTATGCGAGGTTTTCAGTTTGAAGTCCACAGAATGCAATCCCATAATTAGTTACTGGATGCCGGGAAAGATGTCAATCATGATAGAAAGTAAACGCCCTCCTGTCTACATTGACAATCAAATGAGCCTGAATACGTTCTTTTTGATTCGTGGTGGGGATCCTAGTGTCAACTTGTTTATCTCTTTCATTACAACCGTCAAGGCACTCGGGAATAATGTCCCTAGGACTGATGGTGACGATGCTGAAAGTGACCGTGTGTGTGGGAGTGCAAAGACACCAAATCCTATCGTAGCGGCTTCAAATGTGGATGCAAATAATGAGGCCGTAGATGAACAAGACGACGTACAAGACGATAAAACAGATGAGGATGAAGAGGAGGAGGACACCGAAGATGGTGATGGGTATGATGATTATCAGGGTGACCATGGATCTATGGGGGGAAGTACCCTCGATCCTACTATAGACGGTAGTGAAGGTAGTGGCGAAGATTACGATTACAACAAGTGGAACGATGTAATTGTAGAAGAATATGGAATAGGGAATGTTGAGGAGGACGTCATTCTCACTCAACAAACTGTTCAACATCCAGGGGAATTCAGTCGTCTATTGGCAGAGTGTACGTACACAAGACAACGTGTACCTGGCGGGGATAACATTTCTCATTCGGGTGAACGTACACCAACCGTGACTCCAAGACGTACGTGTCAACATGGTTTGTACCAATGTACGTACACTACAGAATGTGTACAAGATACAGGCTGCAAAGGTAACACGAATGCCAATATTAATGGTATAGACGAAGTCACTGGGGATGATGTTATCGACCGTGGTATTGGCGCTTCCTCAAGTGGGACACTGAATGATAATCGGCTAGTTACCGTACCTGGCGGAGAGAACATTTCTCATTCGGGTGACCGTACACCAACCGTGACTCCAAGACGTACGTGTCAACATGGTTTGTACCAATGTACGTACACTACAGAATGTGTACAAGATACAGGCTGCGAAGGTAACACAGATACCAATATTAATATTATAGACGAAGTGACTGGGGATGATGTTATTGACCTTCCGCAAGTGGGACACTGAATGATAATCGGCTAGTTACCGCAGCTGAGGCTTACGAAATGTATAATGGCTTTTCTTCATTACATGGTGGCGAGTTGGAGATTCTCGATAATGATGCTGCTCCAGTATTCATTGATTTAGCCAAACTTACTTTCGGAGTTTTGGTCAGCGCAATATTGTTGTCGCACTCGTCTTCTGGCGTTTAACCGACAGAGCTAATTCGAAGATTGTGAGTCATGGTCCTGTCTCAAAGGTGTTTGCTGATCCGGATACACTGGAAGTGGAAGAGATCAAGATGGTCGTTTTTTAGTTAGACGGATTTTTTATCCACTGTCTTATTATTATTGGAAAAATGGGTAGAAAAAGCCTCACCTTTCTTAAAAACATAGAAAAAACCGTCTCAATTTTTTTTGTGGGTTTTTAAACTCCCACATTTTCATAAATGGTAAAATAAACCCTAGTATTAATAAACTTAATTTAAATTCAAAAAAATAGTTATACTAAAAAATAAATAAATAGAAACAATTTGATTTAGGGTAATTTTTCTAAAATTCTAGTTTACAATATTTTTCTAAATTGAAAATATGTAAGTCATGATGTAAAAAAGTTAACTAGTGAAGTTTTGTTCAGTGTGTTACAAAAATTCATCAACGTGAAACCAAACAGATTTTATTACGAATTATATGTAAATTCTTATATCCAAAACCGAATATGACTTTTTATTAATAAAGGTTTATTATGTTCGATCACACAAATTTACTAACGTAAAACCAAACCAAATTTTATAATACTACGAAAAGTACATGAATTTCCACATCAAAATATTTTCATTGGACAAACTAATTAAGATTTACTAATAATTAATATTTCTATATATATATTACGATATATATATTAAAATATAATATAAATTATATTTAATTAATCATTATTTAACTATATTTTTATCCAAAACTTGAACACTCGAATAAAAAAAAAAATCAAATGTGATATCGTATAAATTTTTGTAGTTTATATAACATAACTTGTAATTGTAACAAAAATAATTTGCCTAATCTCAATTAAATGGTGAATAAATGTTCATAGCGCAAAAAGCCTAATTTTAGAAAAAAATCATAAATTCAAATTTGAAATAAAAAATCATAAATTAAATTATTTTTGTTTCTTACTGTTTTAATATAAAGATTTAAAAAAAAATAAATTAAGTTTATTAATATTAGGGTTTATTTAACCATTTATAAAAAGGTGAGGGTTTAAAAACTCATAAAAAAAGTTGAGGGTTTTTTCTATGTTTAAAAAAAAAAAGTGAGGGTTTCTTTACCCATTTTTCCATTATTATTTAATACTACATTTACATTAAATATTGTTTATTAAACTACATAAAGTTGTTGTCGTTTTCAAATTACTTCACTATGATTAATAAACTATTGGAAACATGTACGTACATTTGTACGTATTCTTCTATTATCTTGCCTCTGTACGTGTTACTAGTATTTGCTAGGTGTACGTACAGTTATACGCCATTATTAAAATATATTGGCTGTGTACGATTTACTAGTTTGATAGGTCATGTACGTAATATTTGTCATATGTTATGTACGTGAATGCTTTCACCAATCTTTCAACCAGAAGACTCTTTACTTCGGTGTCACCAATCTTGCTTCATCAACATAGTCAAATAGAATAAAGCAATCAAGAAAAGCACATATTTAAAAGTTTTGATTCAAGGATATATTTGTCTTTGCGTTGGAACCAGAAACGCCACAAGATGAGGCAAACACAGGCCAAGGAGAAGCTGTTAATGACAAAGATCTTGAGAAGATAAATGAAGTGTTGTCACTAGAAATCAGACATGTTATATTACAGGACTATAAGTTTTCATTGTATTGGTATATACAGCTGCCAGAGTTTTGTCTGAAAGCTGCAGGTTTCATAGAAAAGAGAACACACATTTGATTTGATGGTGTTACGAATACGTATCTATGGCTCGACTCTTGACTAACTCTGAATACAAGTGGTTGAACCAAACCATAACTACTTCTGCAATTTCGTGTTACATTCCATAAACCATTAGAGAGTAACCAAAGAGATTAACTTACGTGATACAAACAAACAAACAAACAAACACAACTCCTCAAGAAGCTCAGAAGAAATTATTGAACTGATTGGTTAAAGAGCTCTTGAGGTTTGAATACAAACCATAAAGAGAATACTGCTTAAGATTCTCGACTTCATACCACGAGTTGAGAACCGCCAAGTGCTTATCAGTGCCAAAAAATGCCAACTGAATCCCGAGACTGCAATCCACTGAACCTCCCCGACCTTTACAGGTCGGTGTTCTTATCGCACAATCTTGCTTGTTCAAAATTTTGATTCCCCTTGCACGACGCACACCCGTCTCTCTTCCAATACAGATTTTGAAGCCTACCTTTCTGAAACTCCATCACCTTAAAAAACATAACAACACCATAAATAAGATCTCATGATGAATCTATACATAACATGTATAAGATATGATATACAAAAAAAGGCTTTACTAAAGTAAAACTGGTTACGATGAACGTGTTATTAGCAATAAAAGCCGGAATCAACCTCGCTGCGTATTTCCGACCCGCGAATGCCACCATATATCCACCATAGTTGTCCTGAAGACATTATACATCCACAAATTAAGGGTCCATGAATGGTCAAATCATACACTTACCAAATCTGAATTCACTACCAATACTTATTATACCATTTTGCATAATAATTTCACATAAAACCAAATCTGGTACTTTTACTATAATTAGTAAAGAATATGAACCAATATATAATTAGTGGTAATCAAGTGAGGTCAACACTAAATCTTCAAAGAAACCAAAGTCAACCAAATCTATACTCTGACCAGAGATTAATAAAATGTGATTTAACTAAACTTATTCGATTTATTAAATAAACAAAATTTGACGAATTTAATTACCGGGAAGAAGGCGGAGGTGTTGATGGAGAGGAGAGAGATCTCGTCGATTTTAGGACGGAAGAGAGAGAGAGAGAGAGAACTGTGAATTCATGGCGGCAAGGGAAAGTCGATGGTCACAGGGAGAGAGAAGAACCGTTTGGTTTAAGAAGAAAGAAGGACGAGAAGAGAATGCGATTCCGAATGTGAATCCGTCGGATCTTTGGATTCTGGTGTCAGAGCATGGGGAATAGATATTGTTGGTGTTACTTCCTCCGCCGTCTCCGCCTATGGCTACGGTTTTGTGGAAACTGGTGATGGTTAGTGTCACGGCGGAGAAGACGAGGAGTGTTAGCTAGAGTTTTCGAAGGGAACATTTTTTTTTTGAAATTGTTATGGAAATGGTTTGGGGCAAAACCAATCAAAAGTAACTAAACCGCAAAGAAACTGTGTCGTTTGGTTTAACTCGTTAGGGGTATTTTCGTCCTAAAATGTCTTAAGTGTCAATTCATGAGAAAGAAATCTCACTTTGCCAAATGGTGAGACTAAATTTTTTTTTTAACACAAACGTGAAAATTTCTTAAAAAAAAAACCCGAAGTGATTCATTGGTGGAATACTAGACAATGCAAAACTTTTTTGAATGATATCCAACTTAAACCTAATTTCCAGGGGTTAGCCGTTGAATTTTGGAGCATTATTTTGCTTTAGTACTAAGTATGTAAGATCAATAAATTCGTTTTGTGTGTGCTTGGTTCCTAAATAAAAAGGTTTTTAGCTTAAAGATTGCTTTCAATTCCAAATATACACTAGTTAGAAACAAGAAAAAAGTGTTCTCACTTCACTTTAAAAACGTCTACCCCAATATTCAACAATAGGAAATCACTCCTCGTACCAATTGAAGAAGAAGAATATGAATCAAGTATAGTTATACTTTAACTTCTATATGGTTTTTGAGTCTATGGTTGCTAGAGCTTTCTTAGTCTTTTGATGTTGTTAATTTTAGTTATGTGTGGTTGCTAAGTAGTTTAATTTTCTGAGTAATGATGTTGTTATATTTACATGTATTGTGTGAATTATTTCCTATCCAATCAAAAAAGCAGTTTAGGTGTCCAAAAGTTTCTTATTCTTTCTAACGGGAAATCAGTATTATTGTTAGTAATCACATAACATAATTTCACAAAACTCACACACGACTCAGTATTCTTCTATAGCAAAAGAATACAAATTTCATGTTCAATAATGAGAGCAAGAATACACAGCCGTATAACGCCGTATTGCGTCGTATAATGTCAGTATTGAGTCGTATAGTGCCGTATTGAGCCCAACCATATATGTTAAAGTAAACACATAGTTTAAAAACAGTACAGTAATGTGCCGTATAGGTGCCTATATGACCGTATCTAGGACGTATTTTAGAACACTGGAAAATCTCTTGAACCGTAAAAAAGAAAAGACTAATAAAACTGCTAATTTAACAAAAGCATAATTGTAAATGTCCTTATTCAACTAATCCAGGTCACGTGCTTCTCACATGATTTGCTAAATCTTCTTCTTCGTTTGTTGCACATGAATTCGTGGCTTCATTTTCAATTCCAGAAACACAAACTTGAGATTCCTTCTCAAACCTTTCTTCAATTTGTGATTTTTTATTTTCTAGCATAATCAAAGAATTTGGTGAGATTCCAACAATCTCGTTGAAATTTGCAGGTAATTCATTAGGGATGCAACAAATTGCAGAAGTGTTGGACTTAAGATTTAGGGTTTGATCTTGAGTTCCGTGTTCGCTCTTCTCATTCTTCTTCAAGTCCTTGTGATCGTTAAGCAAAGCTTCCTCCGCACTCAATTCCTTGAGATTACTCAACAACGTCCACATGGAGTCGATAGCGTCACTAATCTCTTGAGGATTCTCCGATTTGTTGAGACTCTCGTTGTTCCACCAAAACCCTAACCCTAGATTTTTACGAGACAAGCAGATGCCAACGTCCTCCCTCGTCTCTTTGGTATCCTCCTGAACAGGAACAGGACGTTGTCCGGAGAGAAAAGAAGAGACAACGGTATCAACGGAGGAGTGACCGAAAGAGTAGAAGGAGACGTTGGATTCAGAAGAAGGAGGAGTCGCTAAGATAGCGATTTGTGCATCGGAGAGAAGACAAAGCTGAGAGGCTTTGCTAAAGAGACCTTCACGGCGTTTGGTGCAAGTAACCCTAAGGTAATCACTCTTCTGTATCATCTCAATCGCAATCTTCCTCTTCGTCCCTCCTTTTTTCACCATTATGATTTTCTCAATTTTCACCACAGAGAGGGTTTTTGTGTGGAGAAAGATAATTGACAAGTGAAGGCCATTGTCTCTCAATCTCATATAAATAAAGAAATATCGAATCTCTTTCTCCAAAACAAAAAAAGGAAATATCGAATCGCATATAAATAAGTAAATATTGAATCTCATATAAATAAGGTAATATCGAATCTCATCAAAATAAGGAAATATCGAAACCCCATCATCCACCTAAACCAAGTTCGACTATGTATCACAGCAAACCGATATCGTTCCACCAAAACCTAATTGTGAACCAAACCAATTTGATCATTTCAATCTTTAACGGTTCACGTAACTACTAAACCACATATCAAAGATTATCCTATCGTCATATTAGCAATGAGAAAGGCTGCCCTCGTTGTGGGGGTCCTGAAGAATCTATAAACCATCTTCTCTTTGATTGTCCGCCTTTGAGACAAATTTGGACCTTATCACCCATTCCCACCTCAGGGCACATTTTCCCCAGAAGTTCCCTCTTCTATAATTTCGACTTTCTTTTCTGGCGTGGGAAAGAATTCGGAATAGGAGAGGACACTCTGGAACTCTTTCCATGGATATTATGGTATATCTGGAAAAGTCGTAACAGATTTTGCTTTGAAAACTTTAAAGAACTTCCTCAGGAGACTTTGGCCTTGGCCTTACAAGAAGCCTCTGTTTGGAAGAAAGCAAACATGAAAGAAGCGGCAGATCCTGAGCCTCTCGCCCGCTCGGTTTTACTCCACTCATCCCTTCCCAGGATCTCGGAATGTCAGATTGATGCTTCCTGGCACTCGGAGGACTCCCTAAGTGGACATGGTTGGGTTTTAGTAGACCAAGACCGTATTCTCCAGCTTGGCTTAAAGAGTTCGAGACGAAGTCTCTCACCGCTCCACGCGGAGATTGATTCTTTGCTTTGGGCAATGGATTGTTTGATCTCGCTAGGCATTATTACTAGCGCCTTCGCATCCGATTGCTCGGACATGATATCTCTCCTAGACAACCAAGACGCTTGGCCAACCTTCGCAGCAGAAATGGCCTCTTTCCGGTCACTCGTTTGTTTTTTCCCTTCTTTTAGTATTAGATTTTTTCCTCGTAGTTCTAATACTCGAGCAGATTATTTAGCCAAAAATGCTCGGGCTCGAAACAGTCTCTTTTCCCATATAAGTTCGTCGGTTCCTGATTGACTCTCTCTAGCGGAGAGTATCTTTCCGATATCTTAATAGAAATGGTGTGAGAAAAAAAAAAAAAAGTAACTACTAAACCGACTAAACCATCGAACGTTATATTGTATGGGCTAAGCCCAACTATCCACCAAAATCCTCTTATTTTTTATAATTTTTTTTTCATCCTTATATAAATTAAAAATATTCTAGATGGGTTGTGTGATTTGTGCCTATAGCTATATGAATCACATGGAGTGTGTTGTCTTCTTTGTGCTCGCTTGCAAAGTTTTCAGAATACTTCTTTGCTAATAATGAAGAGATAACGGGTCCCTTTGTCGTAAACTCCATGAAGGGATAACTTGGCCTTTTACTGCTTCAATTATTAAGCTCAGCTCCATCCGACATCAAGATGCCTATGAGGCTATGAAGGAGGATCCGCCTATGGTTCCAAACACGCCGCATCTAACCCCGTCTAAGCTTTGTAATAGGTCACAATTAGTTCAAAATTTTCAGTTTACTAAGATGCATTCATTGTAAAACCGTTTTTTTGCTTGAATACAATTTTACATTCATTAAAAAAAAAAAACCGTTGCTACACATTCTTTTATCCAGTTAGTCTAAACTATTATCAAAACCCCACTAAGAAAATCCCATTTAATTCGACTATACAACTTTATTCATGTCGCTTTTAACCATTGTATCCCAATGTTTTTGATCGTTGGATTTTAGAAGATAGTTGAATAATTGTAGGCCCGTAAAGTTTTGTAACAAAGGTCCATTATTTCTGAAGATTGGTAAACGAGTGCCCAAAATTCTCAATTTATACATTTTAAAACATTCATCTAATTTTTCTTAGTTATGCATTGGGCCCAAAAGACTTGTTCCAACATTAATTTTCTCACATTTTTATAACAACAAAAAAAACAAAATCTGGTTGGGCACAAATACACTTCTGCAAACAAACAAACAAACAAAGCTGAGATAAATAAAGTTGGAAAATGTGCGGTGTCAAAAAAAACAATTTTAAACCAATTCTTTTTCAACACCCGAAAATCTTAAGCAAACCGTCAAACGAAACGCCGTCGTTTAAATCACCACCGGCTAATCGAATCATAGCTTTGATTTCATCATCGGAAACAGCTAAACCAGCCGAATCCATATAACTTTTCAGATCTCCGTAACTCAATCTCCCATCTCCGTCTTTATCCATCACCTTAAACACATCTTTCATCAATCCATCGTCTCCTCCGTTACCAGATCTACACAACAACGGCGCCGTTTCTAGAACTTTCTCGAACTCATCGAACTCAACGAATCCGTCTTTGTTCGCGTCCGCTACTGATATCATCGTTCCGATCATCGTCTCGTCGTTGTTTTCACCGGAAGTGATTCCGGCGTAGAATGCACGGAGATCGTCGCTGCTGATTTTACCGTCGCGATCTGTGTCGATGATCTCGAAAGCTGGTCGGAAATCTGAACTCGCGGTGGTGGTTATCGGAATCGGGATTCTACCGGAAGGACACATCGCTTGATCTCTCTGAGTTTTTTGAAATTTGAAAATGGCTTTTGAGATTGTGAAGGAAGCTTTTTAGAGAGGACGTGTGTGAGCGTAGGGTTTATATAAGAGACGCGAGGTGGCTCAAAAAGTCAAAAGCTTGCTTTGAAAGGTTGGTTATTTTACTTATTTTTGGTTGTTATTTATTTTATCATTTTGGTCAAAATTTTGTTGTTATTGTATTTTACTATTTTATACTCTTTTTGGTCCTAAAAAATTTTCATGTTTAGCAAGAAATACACTATTACTTAAACTTTAATACTTCTATATAGCTATGAACCAATAGTAATGCAACCAAATCAGATATTCTTAATTAATAGTTTTTGAAATTTACAATTTATTAATTACTTTCTCTATTTCACAAAAAATACCATTTTAACATAATTTATACTCCATCTGTCTTAATATATATGATGTTTTAGTTTTTTATTCGTTTTATCCATTTTTATAAAAAAAATTTCCTAGTTTCTATGCATGATTTATATTAGTTTAATAGTTTTAATATTTAAATAATACAATATCTTCTTCTATTAGTTGAATTTTTATAATTGAGAAAACATTTATTGTTTCTTAATCTTTGTGATTTTACTCAAAACATCTAATTAAATGGCACTAAAAGAGTACATATTAAAAAAACTATATAAATTTATATTATATTTTTAGAAAATATATTAAAATGTTTTCTCTTTTTGGATAGTAATTGAAATAATAGTAATAGACAGACTTTTAGTTTTAAACAAAAAACTGAATTGAAAATACAAAATATTTTTTAGACCGGACTCATCATAAATAAATATATTACATTTATTAAGAGGGAACAAGAAAAAATAGGAGTTTTTAATGAGAGAGAGTCGGTTACGAATAAATAACATTAATGGAAGTGAAATTTGGTAAGATATTTGGATTGAGAAGTACGCAGTGCATGACATCACCAAAGTAGTGACTGGTATCTGATTCGTAGGGAAAGTCGATTTTGTCTTTTCATGTTAGAATCAACTTTAAGGTCTCTCTTGCGAGCAATAGGCTCCTCAAAATTTAAATGGACCCATTGTCCAACATTTTATAGGGGAAAAATGTCTTAACTATAAAAAAATGGCTGTTTAATACGTGAACTTGTTATATGACCAATTTAAACATGAAGTAAACGTTGACCGGCCAATTTAAACACGAAGTATTCGTTGACCAGGCCAAAAACCACACGCCGTTATCTGTCGTTAACAGATCCGATAACAGCCGTTAACGATTCCGTTATTACCTAAAACGACGTCGTTTTGGGCTTAATCGCCGCTGTGTCTTCAAGCTCCAACAACGCTTGCTGCTCCATTGGAGCTCCTTCAAACGTGCTACCAATGAAAAACGAGAACGGAGTCGGAAACTGATTCTTCCTCAGATCCTGAGATTCCTTATCTGGTTTCCCATTCAATCTATTCGACAATCGAATCACTTCTTTCATCAAAACCTCAACCTCGTTCGCCAATTCGTCCAGATTCTCTTCACCAGACGGTCGATCTTCAAGCCACGTCACCTTCGCGACGAGGTAAGGTTTCGTATGGACGAGATCCGTGACGCGAAATCGTTCATGACCTTTACAGATTAAGAAGAATCGATCATCGACGAGACGCTCGTGCTTCACGATTTCTCCGACGCAACCGATTCCAGCTGCGGAACCTGAAACGGCGTCGGAGTAGACAACGCCGAATCTGAGATCGAATTGGAGAAGCGTTTGCATCATGACTCAGTAACGGAACTCGAAGATTTGAAGCGGGATTGTTGCGCCGGGGAAGAGAACGAGACTCTCTTCCCCGGGAGGTAGAGGTGTCAAGCGGGACTCTCTTCCCTGGGAGGTAAAAAATGATCTGAAGTGGGATTGTAGAGGTGTCAAGCGGGAGGTGTCAAGCGGGCTTTGTCCAAGTAGCCCACGGCGGGGCGGGCTTGGACATCATTTTTTATGTCCATAAAATAGCGGGCCTCGCGGACAAGCCCAGGCGGATTGCGGGTTTTTGCGGGTTTTGTCCGCGGATTTGCGGGTCGGCCCACGGGCTACAAATATTTAATAAAAATAAATAATTAATATAAATAAATAAATATTTTTACATAATTCTGAAAATATATATGTGAAATATATGAAAATATAACGAAATTTAATGTATAAAATTATAAGATTTTAAAAAATTAATACTAAAAGTTTTTTTTTTTAATTAAAAAATTATTAATTTCAAATTTTAAAAATTAATTTTATTTTTTTAATTATTTTTAAAATATTAAAACTAAGCCCGCGGGCCGGCCCGCTAACCCGTTGGGCTTAGCGGGGCGGGCCTGGACATATTATTTTTGCCCGCGGTCCTAGCGGGCCGGCCGGTCGCGGTCTCACAAATTTAAATGCCTATCGCGGGCCGGCCCAGATGGACGCGGGACGGCCCGTCTGACACCTCTAAACGAGAGGTAGTGGGAAGAGAGGAAGCTCTACTAGGTCATCTGATTTGGGCGGATTCGCGTTGTGGTGCTTCTCGGAGAAGGAGGAGGATGAACATCGGAAGGAGAGGAGTTTGCAGCTTCGACGGTTGATGCTCCGGTAAGTAGCTGGAAGATGTAGAGGATTCACAGCGGCGATTAAGCCCAAAACGACGTCGTTTTAGGTAATAACGGAATCGTTAACGGTTGTTATCGGATCTGTTAACGACAGATAACGGCGTGTGGGTTTTGGCCTGGTCAACGAATACTTCATGTTTAAATTGGCCGGTCAACGTTTACTTCATGTTTAAATTGGCCATATAACAAATTCACGTATTAAACGGCCATTTTTTGAAAGTTCGGCTATTGCTAGCTATTTTTCATGTGGACTAAATTTTTGTGGATGCATGGGAGACCAAAAACTGCAATTTGCTTCATTTTTAAAATTCACGTGTCCAATATTAGTGGGCTACGGTTACCACACGTACGATAATTTGTTTTCTTGTAAGGTCCAAATTTTGTAAATGTTAGGTTAGTATTATATTAGCCACCATGCATAAAAAGGACCAGTCGTCGATAAGAAACATAAGAAAATCTTTTCTGATTGTTTGGATTAATAACGTATACGATCAGATCTTTGTGTGATATTTTTACAAAGTTTATGGTTATTTATTTATATTGTTTGGATTATATTTGTAGTTTTTTTGCTGTTACTGCTAGTCACATTCTCTTAATTTCAACTACTAGATATTATACAATATACAAACTCTTAGTAATTAAAAAATATATATACTATAAACTTTGTATTACAATCTATATATATGGATATTACTTAAATCATATTTTTTGTACCGGAAAAAAAAATCCAAAGGCACCCGAATCTACGTCATATTACATTAGATGTCTTATGGATTCTTTGAATTTTGGGAATTCTGTAAGACCATCTTCATTGCATAACTTTGGAAATTTAATAAGAAAATGCTAATATTATATTATAGGTGTCTTAAAGACAATAACAAACTCAATCAAAGTGTCTTAATTAAGATATTTTAGACATGGTGTCACATTCTCCAATAATTTTTTTTTACAATATTAATATTTCTTTTTCAATTATATATTAAGACACCTTCTTGAAATATGTCTAATGGAGATGTTCTAAGTGGTTCATTCAAGTTTGTTTTTTGGTGTGTAGAGAGACTTTTTGCTTTGGTGTGTAGACTGTCTGGTTCTGTCAAGATCAACACATGGGACATTGATGTTATCATGAACGAACTTGAGGCTAGCATCTTCATTTTCTTTTAAACTCATCACAAGCATCAAAAACGTTTTTGAAAATTGGTTGTTTTAAAGTCAAATTGTAAAAATCCAAACACTAGTGCATGATTAATCAAGGCTCTTACTCGTGCTAAGAATTCTAGAATACACGAATCCTTCATTGCATTGCCATTCTCATGAGCCTCACAAAAAGAGTTCAAGCCATTTTCATGATAATAACCAAAGCATACCAGATAATAAACTGGAAAAAACGATTTTCTTTTGTTATTATCAGCTTGAGAAAAAGAAGCTTTCCTTGTGTAACAAGTTTCAGCCTTGTTTCCTTTTTTGATAAAAACAAACATTTTCTATTCTAAAGTTTCCTTTTTGTTTATTGTTCAGTCTCTATGTAAAAGAGAAGAGACTCGCATTCTTTCTTTTGTTTCAGGCTTTTAGAACTTTCTTCTCAAACCATTCCTTGAATTCGCTTTAGAGAATCAACGTCTTCGAGAAGACTACTTCACGGACATTCGAGGTGAGTTACTTTGTTTATTTTATTTTTACTTGTGTATAAAGCAAGGGTTAATTAGGTTTAGTTAAAACCCTAACAAATATCTAACTTACTGTCGTAGCTTTCTCCTCTGTAGATCGATGTCAGAAATCACAAGAGAAACTACGATGATCTTCGATCTTCCACATGATCTAATAATAGAGGAGATATTTCTTAGGGTTCCGATGATATCTCTGAGACGACTACGGTCTACATGCAAACGATTAAAAGATCTACTCAAAGATCCGGGATTCATCGAAAAGCAAATTGCTAATGCCAAAACTACAAGGCAGTATCATGTTCTTGTGGTGGTAAAATTTAGGGTTTATGCAATGTGCTCCTATATCCATGGAAAGAACATGAACGTTGCTCCCTTGTTTAAACGTGGACTTCACCTAATCGATCCCCATCGTAAATCAGAAGTCGATTTATCTCATGCCTTTCACTGTGATGGCATATTGCTATGCACCACCAAAGGAAACATGTTTGTGGTTTGGAACCTGTTTTCGGGGCAAACTCAATGGATCATTACGAAAAATCCTCTCAAGATAAACAATACCTATGCTCTCGGATACGACAAGAATGAATTGTGCCATAGCTACAAAATCTTGAATCTGGATAGATACAAGAAAAAATTGGAAATCTATGAGTTTACGTCTGATTCATGGAGGAATCTTCATGCCATCATTCCTAAAGGCTGCTTGAAATCTCGTGGCGTGTCTTTGAAGGGGAATGTTTATTGGTTGTTTAAACGAAGAGGAGTCAATGAGTACTCTCTACTTAGTTTTGATTTTTCCACGGAAACATTCCAACTTTTGTATGTTCCCTTTCACCAAGAAGCAGATTGTTTCGATGATGATTATTATTCTATGAAGATTTCTTGGATGATGATTTTTTGGATGATGATTATTCCGATGACGGTTGTTTCGATGATGCCATGGCTCTATCGGTTGTTAGAGAAGAACATCTTTCGTTGTTATTTCAGAGTGTTGTGACACAAAAGATGGAAATATGGATAACCAATGAGATTGAGACCACATCTGTGTCATGGAACAAGTTCTTAACAGTGGATTTTAAACCTCATCCTCATATGTTTTCGCGTAGCATGAGTTTTTTCATTGATGAGGAGAAGAAAGTTGCCGTGTGTTGTGAGAAAGACCAAGAGAAGAAGATATTCAACAAGGTATACATTGTTGGAGAAGATGAATTCAAAGTATCTCCCGGTTTTGGTTTTATTGATTGTAGAGGCATATATAGTTGCCCAACTATGTTTGGTTATGTTCCACGACTACTTTAAATCGAGTAATATTATTTCTTATGTCATAGAGTCGAGACGTTTTTTTCGGCTCAAATGATGCATTAGTATACTCCAAAGTTAGCTCTTCACGGATCACATGCAGTTATATGGTTCGTGATTCTGAAACTATCAAATAATAGCCAAATTGAAAATTGGTGTAACCGTGTAAGACCAATAGTATGCAAAACCGAGTCCACAAAGCTCGAAGAAGTCTTACACGAAAACTGATAACCCGACTCCAAATGCACAAACAATAACGAGAAGTGTTCCAATAAAAAGTGGCAATATTTACTCAAAATCACTGTCCAAATCTTGATTCTATCTCATACTTTTACCTGTACAGACTATTCTTTAAAAAATTGGGTCTGTATCAGGCATAACGGTTTTATATAAATAACCTCTCTAGCTCGCCTCGCTAGCACATGACGTTTTTAGAATCAATTCCATACAAAAGAATGGCTCTTGTAAAGAGAGAGAATATATTCGCATATACCAAAACTCTTTCTTGTTGGTGCTTTCTCGTCATTGCGCTTCAACACAAACATGAAACACCTTCCTGCTTTGCTTATGTAGCTCAGCTTCATCAACGCATAATCAGTTTTAGCTCTGTCCATTTAATGGTTTATTTTTCCTTGAGGGCTGAGTTTTCTATTGATGCAGCACGAGCCGCCTGGAACTGTATAGTGTACTTTCTTTGAAGCTCTCTTAGTTTCTCCATGATTTCTTGGAACGATGGTCTGTGCTGCGGTTCACTGCAAAAATTATCTTACTAACATTAGCTGCTGCTTCATTTACCACAAAGACACATTAATCAAACATAGCTGTGTAAGAGTTTAAGAATGTTTATCAGCTATTTGTTTAGGTAAAAGAGTTTAAATATCTTTTCTATAATACCTTCTAATTTCCTACTGCGGTTTCTGTTGAAAGAAAAATCTATAAAAGATCCAAAATGACACCAATCATGGTACCAAACTTTCTTGTTTAAAAGATCTAAAATGACATCAAGCTTTTGTTTACTTAAACGATTTCTTTACACGTTATCAAGTATTCCAAATGTTGCATTGTACGAGTTTCAAGCACATTCACTTTCTTTCTCTGCTAAAAGATACAATAAACACACAAACAAACAAAAAATCAGTTTTATCTACTCATTATTCAGTGAAATGACACAAACTTTAGGTTTAGCATTTACTGCAGAAAGCAGAGACTGTGGCATATGATGAAGTGTTTATGAAAAAACCAGGTTTTGGTCCCTCCTTTATGCAACACAATTGAGGCCACTTTTTTTCTAGCAAGGTATATGTAACGTTAAGCGTGTTATACATACCTATGCCAGCAGCTTTCCATTAAAGAAATCCACTGAGGATCAACATTCTTCGGGACTTCCAGCCTCTGGTTCATGAACCCCACAGCTCCAATCACCTGCAAGTATCCTAAATAGACTTCTCTTCATATTACGTTTTAGGAACTAAGAGGAGACATAATATGCAAACATTCTTAAACAGGAGAGATGTTTTGCGATGGAACAAGACCTCTAATTCGTACAAATGTATCCTTTTCATTTGACCGAAAAAGATCATCAAGTCACAGAACTTGCAGTTATAGGCAGGTGTTTTTTTATAGTAAGATAATTCACTGACTTTTTTACATTAATATTAGTATATTACAATACACAAGTGTGTAGTATGCTTCCACAACATACTTTACTGAGTAAGGGTTGATGGAAACTAGATGTTGTAGCAGCAACCAGATTTCTGCAGTATTTGTACCATTGAGATTCTTCCTTGGACTAATATGGCCTCGTATAGCTTTAAGACATGACTGAAATTTAGATTCCACTAGTCCAATTTTTATTTGGGGACAATTCTTGACAATTTTTTACCTAAATGTGGAAATTATACCTGCATGGGATTTAGATTTTCCCACGGGATCTTCTCAGTCACAAGCTCCCATAGTATTACTCCAAAGCTGTAAATGTCGGACCTGTCATTTAATTAGTCGGTGGAACATTGTCAGAGATAAAGGCTAGAACAGCAATCAAGAAAGGAACTTAACTAAGCAGAAAATGGGATTATACTTTTCATCAGCAGCCTCATTTCGAAGAACTTCTGGTGCCATCCATTGAGGCTGCAACACAGGTAAAAGGCAATGGAATTTTCATCCTGAGAGAATTGACTTCATAAAACAAAGGAATCAATTCAGTAAGAGTCTATGTTAAGTACCGTTCCCCTTCCAGTCTTTGTAGTGAGGTATGTCTCATGCTTGATGCGCGAAAGACCAAAATCAGCAACCTGTTAGAGATGACACGGTAATTTAAATATGACAAGCAGAGCCTTTGTTTTGGTCAATATTAATTTCTCGTTCTGCAATCAAGATCCAAGCCTCTCTTTTCTGGTATATTCACAACGAATCATTATCTAAAGCTTCATTTGCTGTATAGAATATCTTTATCTGATTTTCCATTTTGCGTTAAAGTCCGAAGAGTAGAATGTATGCTTATAGGTTTCTCATACAACTTCTCAGTTCTGACAAAACAGAGTAAACCTAATAACTTCCGTGTATCGGGTTATAGGTTTCTTATACAACTTCTCAGTTCTAAAACAACAGAATTAGTAGACCTAATAACTTTATTATGTTGTACCTAGACTAATATATTCAACCCATGTCACAACAAAATGAAATAAATCAAAATTCACTGGAGACATCCATATCTATTTCATCCACTGAAATCATGTCTCATCCGAAATTTGATGAAGGTGGAAATGAAAACAATACCTTCACGGTCCAGTTTCGATCAACCAGTAGATTTGACGACTTCAGATCTCGGTGAATGATGGGTGGAGTACAATGGTGAAGATAATTCATGCCACGAGCCTGTGGGAAGACGTATGTAAGAAATATATGTAACATGTTGTAGAAGAGATACAGTGGCTGAATCAAAGAAGGGAAAAGAATGATATGCAAGACAGATGCAAGTAAGAACAAAAAAAGAGCAGCTTAATTTACTTAGAAAACAGTGGGTATGCAATTATCAATGGTCACACAACTGGAAAATCCGTGTGTGAGTAATACTCACAATGTCCGAGGCCATATGGATACGTCGCCTCCAATCCAGTTTTGACGTGTTCCTCTGCAGCAAACGGAAGAGACTTCCACTGCATATGTTATTTGATAAATTTAGGGGTGAGTCAGAGTTTTGGCCCCGGATTTTAAAAAGCAAAAAAGGACGTGTACTATTAGCCAAAGAGATGAGACCGAACCGTGGAAGGAACTCTGTTACTATACAGAGACGCTGAGGCGACGTCACGGCTCCCATAAATAGCAAAACGTTCGGGTGTCTAAGTCTTTTCATCAATGATACCTGCAGAAAAAAGTCCACCATATGTACTTCAAAATTAGAATAAGTAGCTAAGCTGGTTTCAGAAATGATTAATTTTCTGAGTAGACGCAGTTCGGAAGAAGATTACATATGGGAAAATTGTGGTAGTTTAGGGACTAAATTTCTAACGAAAGAAACAAAGAAAGATGGGAAGGCAGGTGTGACTTACTAAAAAACCAAATAAAAAATCAATTTTCTTTTACCAAACATGCTTAGAGAATTGATTGAAAACATAATACCTCTTGTCTAAAAGATGTTATGATCTCTTCTGAATATTCTTGTTTGGAAAACACCTTTACAGCCACATCCTGCACTGACATTAGCAACTCTTAGTGATATTCTTGTTTGGAAAACACCTTTGCTCATGATTTTCTCGAAGAGACTTGTAAATATCGATTATGCATAATCTACAACATCTATGGAAGGCAAGAACGTACAGATCCAAACCACAGACCGTGATAGACAGTCCCACATGAACCTGTATGTATAAAAAGGGAAACTGTCTTAACATCTTAGCAGAACAGAGACAAGAAAACCAAATAAATCGTAAGATGTCTTGAAGGATGGATTTTTTCGCAAAAGTGTTCATCTTTCTCAAATGAGTACATCACCTTGCCCGATTTGTTCTCCAATTGTCAAGTCCTCCCATAAGATTTCATAATCCAAGCAGTCACTATCCATATCGACCTTGTTCATAACACTGCTGCTGGTACTTCCACAGCTGCTACTACTGCTTGTGCTGTTCACATTAACAGAGGAAGACCAATACCCCATAGGCTCGTTACTGGAAGCCTTAATACTTTCACATGCCTGGCTTTCAGACTTAACACTGTGATTAGAATTACTTTGATAAGCCTGTTCTTTATGTTGTTCATTCTGCATCCAAGGCCACACAGAATGACTACGCCTTCCTTCCGAACCTTCCCTTTCATTCCCTTTCCACGGCCATGATAATCCTTTCTTTACCATCCACTCTTCAGCTTTTGAGGTCAGTGTTTTAGGGATAACAGAGTTTCCATCATTTTCATCACTGGAATCTCTGAAGGGCTTTGAAGAAGCCTTCTCATCGCTACGTAAGAACACACCAAATGGAGATTGGATAAAATCCCCCCTAGGTGTATCAGCACCACTTGTTGCTGCATCCTCCCTCCGGTCAGAGAAAGCAGCATCAAAGAAACCCTGATCGGACTGATGACTGTCCCCACTTCCACCCTCAAGATTTGCAGCATTATTATCACCTGCTCGCATTTTTGACTTGACCTTGTTGCCCACCTTAGACGCCTGAAATGTTGACTACACTAGTCAAACGACAGTATACACTAAAAGATGAGAATTAGCAACCTACAATTAAACTAACCAAATCTGATATCTTTGAAGCTATAGCAACTTGTATAGGCTGCTGAGAATCAAGTCCGAGTTTCGATACAACAGCCTCTTTCGAGTCAAGACCAAGCTTAGATGCAACACTACTAGTCACCCGGCTAAAGCTCGTCTCCCCTTCTTGCCCCCTTGTCTTAGCCGGAGAGCCTCTCGGGTCTTGAAAGAGTGCCGAATCATTTGTGATACATATGATCCCAATAAGAGAACCGTCATCATCATATGAAGGAGACATCGTAGTCACAACTGAAAACCTCTCTCCGGCTTTGTTCTTGACAGGAAACTCACCAGTCCAACTCTCCCCACTACTGCAACGCCGAGTGATATTCTGTGCAACCGAAGCATCCTGACCATCTACAAGAATATCAATCGGATCCTTCCCAAGTGCTTCAGCAGCTGAGAATCCATAAAGCCTTTC